ACACACACATCCCGATGTCTAGTGCAGGCGGAATCCTTTCGCTTTGCTCTCTCCACACCCTGGCCCCTGCACACCATTGATAAATGCTGACCCCGCAACGAGGCAAACCGTAAAACTCCTACTGTGGGCCCTAAAACCTTGAACCCTGAGTCTGTGCCGCAGGCCTGAAGTCTCACAGCCTAAATCAGCCTAAAGTCTCAAGAGCTCGTCTAAAGCTTCCATCCCACAAACCAATACCCCTTTATCTAGGGGATAGCCCTTCAAGGATTTAGATATACGCTGGTTTCGTACCATCAAATTGAAATCCAATCCCTAATCGAGACTTTCGGCAGCTCGCATGGCTGTCCCCAGAGAGCCCAATACGCCTTAATTAAGGAATATGGCTTAAATCATAATATGAAGCCCTATATCATCTAAGCCATATTCCTAGCTTAAGGGGTATTGTGATCTCTGGGTCGTTTTGTCTTCCAACCTCGAAAACTCACTCCCTCATCCAACAACCACCTACATGCAGTTCCTTTTGGGGGTTACCTCCTTGCTAAACCAAACCCAAAAAGGAGCCACAATGGGGACTGTAGACAGAGCCTCAATCGGAACGGCTGGAACCTAATCCTGGCGGCCCAGCAACAGCTTAGTAGTAACGTATGGGCCTTAATAGCTACAATAGGGTCTTGGGGCCCACTATACTATAAATACAATAAGAAATCTCAACATAGTAGTGGTAATTGAGGCCCCTACATTAGCTTTACTGTCCCCTGGCCTTCCAGAATCAACGCTTAAGTTTGTATGCGGTTAAGGGTTTCGGGTTTAGCATAATTACTTGGAGGGCCAGGGGACTTAGTAAGTCGGTTATACGTAGGCCGTTTAAGGTACTTGTAACTCTACATATCTCCGACTATCTAAGTCCCCGACGCATCTAAGTAATTCGGTTTAGGCAGCTGGGATTCTGAAGCAAGCCCCAAAGCCAAACCTGCAGCTGGCGGAGTGATCCCAGGAGCTGGCCTCACACCGAAGGATTTCTCACAGGACTAGGATTCACGGTTCAGGACCGAAGTTTCTGCTTGTCCAAGCGAAGCCTCAAAGTGCTCATAGTTTCAGGGAAGATACGGACATGCCTCAATAAGTGTCATCCTGCGATTCAGACAGAGTCGCCATACAGAAGAACCCGTACTGCTGCGAAGGGCTTTCGAACTGTACCCCTCTATCTTGATGAGCAAGATGTGCTGCGTATGTCAGGGGACTTCTGAGGATGTCATAAAGCGAATGAAAGTTTCGACCTGAAGCCAAGACTTCTGCAACCTACTCCCGTGCAGAGTCCCGTTAGATAAATCCGAGTACAGACGGCACAACAGCTCCTAAAGCTTGTACTGTTCTTGGTGGACCTGTTCCTTAAATCTCAAGGGCAAAAGGAGGGACCCTTAATAAGGACCCCTAGGTGTATACCCTTAATATATCCATTATATAGCCCACTATGAGGTAGGGGTCCCCATTAAGGGTCCCTCCTTTTCCCCTTTGATCTTGGAAGGTAGTCAACCAGTTGAAACTCATAAGCTGCCGACCTCTGAGACAAGCTCCTCCATCATTTGGGGGTTTCCGAAAATAGGGGGCCCTAATCTAGAAGCCCAAAAAGCAGGATCCTTATTACGAGGACCGGAAGATAAGGTACACCGAATTTTCGGAGTCTCCCAAATTCGGTTCAGGTGATCGGCGAGCTTCGGCAACAAGGGCGCAAGATGCCCATGGTCTCGTTTGAACCTTAGAAGCCCTAAAGCCATATAGATAGATAGATATATATATATATATAGAACTTGAAAGGGGCCCTTGATGGAACCCTTATAGGACCCTTTAAAGGGACCCTACCATATTTCTTTGGAACCCAAAGGGCCAGAGGATGGGGCAGGGGGTGTTGGGACCCTCATGAAAAGTGGTCGTACTCGTTCTTCACCACGTACATGAAGGATCCCCATGTGGCTGTGGTTGAGAAAACTTCCATTCGTCTGTCTGTGCCTGCTGAGCCTGAGACTACAAGGGCTGAAACATCCTGAAACCCTAAAAGCCCGAAAAACTCAGTGAACGCTATTAGCCCTTTAAACCCTCTACACCCTATGAACCCCATAAACCCTAAACCCTTTAAACCCTCCACACCCAATAAACCCCATGAGCCCAGAGCCCTCATACGCCCTAAACCCCTAAACATCCTCCCAGAGAGCGACGAATATACCCCTCAATAAAGGAAAATGTCTTCAACTATACAGGGTTTCATCTTATGATTTAGGCTATATCCCTTAACTAAGGGGTATTGGGCTCTCTGGGCTAAGGTTTCGGCTTCTGGGGCTGAGCTGCGAACTGCTCTGACACCCCGGGTGCCTGGGAGGTGCTGTCGCCCTCTGAGACGCCTGGAGGAAGCTCCTGCTGGGCCCAAGCACTCCTTGGTGGCGTGGGATGGAGGGGAGGGGAGGGGGGGTTTAGGGGTTTAGGGTTTAGGGGGCTGTCTGGTTTAATTAGGGTTTAGGGTTTGGGTTTAAAGGTTTAGGGTTTAGGGGGCTATCAGGTTTAATTAGGGCTAGGGTTCGGGTTTGGGTTTGTTTGAAGGGCTTCGGGGGTCCGGCATGGGGGCTCGGATCTTTGGTTATCATCTGGGGGCCCGAATAACTAGAACAGGGCTTTGGGGCTTTGGGGTCTGTTCTACGATAATGCTAAAGACGAACGCAACAGTATTGACATTGAGAGTTTCCAAAAATCAGGAGTATCTTGTTTGAGTCCTTATATTCAGGGTCCTGCTATTTTGTGTACTATACTAGACCCAACAACAACCTAGGAATAAAAAGGGTGCCATTTCTGGTTTAAATGAAAGGGGCTTATACGGGAACTTGAACCCTACAAAAAGCGAATAAGCGCCTACTCTAGGTGTTTCGGAAACTCGAATTTAGGCATCGAAGCTATGCTCGAGGGCTCCTTGAAGGGCTTCCAAACGTACCATCATAGGGACCCTTGGGGGAAGAGGAGGGGGGGGGTAGGGGGTAGCCTTAATGCCCATAATAAGGACCTCTTACGGCCTGTTTAAGGAAGTATTGTCCCCTACCCCCTCCCCCTTATCGGCTCAGGGCTTCCCAGAGCCCATACCCCTTAACTAAGGAATAGAGCTTAAATCATAAGATGAAGCCCCAAAATGCTCTCTGGGTTAGTATGTCATAAATCATAAGTAAGGCTATCTGGGAGTTTTGGGTTTCGGGTTTAGGGTGCAGGATTTGGGGCTTCTGGATGCGAGTACTTGCGGCCAGCTGGCCGATCAAAGCAATGCCGACGAGCAGGACCAAAGAAGTTCGGCCCATTTTTCTGTCTGAATATCTGTACTTTTGCTGGTGCCTGGCATAGTGGCAACAATAGCGAGTAATGGCCACCCCAATGGCCGTGACATGCACAACTCACCCTGAATGAGTGGAGCTGCAAATTACAAGAGCAGTGCATTGAACTTGCTCGCATTGCCAATTGCCATGGGGGTTCCGAACAGCTCCTGAACTTTAAACAGCTCTATATCCAGCTGGCTAGAAGCAAAAACAGCTGCGGTGACAGCGGCGCAGGAGATCACTGAAGCTGAACTCCGCTCCAGGACCGGGTCTTCACGACCTTAGAAATAGGGCCTGAAAAAGGCACATAAGCAAACATTTGGATAGGGATATCCCGGATATCCCATATACACCCCCTTATAATGAAGCCCAATATGGTAGGGATATCCCTACAAAATGCCCATGCTTATGTGGTTTTTGGGTCCACGTGTACTACGATTCTGGAATTCTGGTCCCAAAAGACCATCCCTATCATGGTTTGGGGGAACTAGTTCCATCATAGTAGTACATAAGTACAGATGGCCCCTCTTGGGAGCTGCGAGACTCGACAAACATGAAGTCGGACAAACTCTTCAAGGAGTCCCTACACCTTGGGACCCTGAAACGGCAACTAACACTGAACCCTCAACCCTAAACCCTGAACCGTAGTACTAACCTAGGTCGGCACTTTGAAGCCTTCGAACAAAAATCGTAAATATCATCCTCTTAAGCCCAACAACGACTAATGCGAAACATCCTAAGGGCCTACCTAGTAAGTATTCCGACCCCTATATCATCCCCGTGACGGCAGCTTTCTCTCTCGCCGGGAGGCGACGTGGGTTTGCCAAGCAGGCTGTTCACACTCCGACTTTGTACAGAAATTGCTGGGTAGGAAACACGGCTTTGGATTTGGGGTTCAGGGCTTAGGTTTTGGCAAGTGAAGACCCGCCCAAACCCAGAATAGTACTGCGCAGAGCGGCTAGGCCTAAGCTATGATCATCCAGTCCCGCTTGTAAGCAGGTTTGAGATGCTGCTCTCCTGCTAAGCCATCAGCTCACCCAGCGCAACCAAGGCACTGTGCGTACACATCTATCATCTGAAACTTGTTGCCCGTACTCTGCAAGTCCAAGTACTCATCTCGTGAGGTTTTAAAGACTTTTCCACAGCCAATCAGACTATCGTACGTGGGAACTCGCCGTAGTAATAGCCTAAACCCTGAACCCCTAAACCCTCAACACACCCTACTATTTCATCCACGGACTCCCGAAACTATGTTGGCGAATGTTGAAAGGCTCGATGCCGAGCTTGCGTACCCAGCAGGCAACAATAATCGAATTGGCGAATGTCTTCAACATTCCCCAAAGACCAGGGCTGTTTTGGAGGCCCTTTTGAAAATGGCTCCTTTGCCCCTTCTTCGTTCTTCAATGACTGTTTATGACAAGTACGCGTGTGGGAAACCTCAGACACATTCCACGCAAGACCATGCTACCCCACCCGAGACTTTTTGGGGGCTTATGGTTGAGAGGTATTTACGGCTGGACCAACGACATCCTACAACCTTAGAGCCCTAAATACTAAACCCAAACCCTGAACAACTCCTGTTGGCCTGTTGGTTAAAGGAGGGCCTCCAAACCCTAAACCCTTCACCCTACACCCCGGCGAATTCTCGAGGCCCTATGCCCATGTGCCACCGTCGCTCACTCGAAAGGAATATGATCGAACCTGGAAACCGACGAGAAAGGACTCTGGGTGTATACAGGGCTTTGGGATTCTGTACTGGTTCCTTGAAACCTTGTTTAGGATTCTGTAACAAGGATTCTGAGGCTAAGGGTGTAAGCTTGATGGAGGAGTCGAAGACGGTGGCATAAGAGAGAAGGGTTCCAGACGAGTTTTTTGGGGCTGTCTCACGTGTTTCAAAGGTTCGATGGGGGGATGTATGGGGATTTGTTGCTCTGTAAGGGCGTTATGAAGTCACAAGCACGAGATCAGAAAACAAAACTCATGTTTCGTAGCTTGCGATCTCACTACATTATTCTACATCGCTGACGAAGAAACATCCAGAAATTCGTTGCACAAACTAAACCCATGAATGACCACATACTCTTCTTTCTAGGTCTCGGTCACCGACCCATTGCTTTCGGAACTTTCCGATCTTAAATATCGCGGCCATAGAAAAACTCGAGCAGGGCTTGCGGGGAAAGTACAGCAGAGTTACACAATAAAGGACTACAATAAGGGGACATCGTTACTATTCAAGTCCGACCCCTATATTGTTCAATCGCACACCCCGAAACCCTGAACCGGTTGACATCATGGTCGTCCAGCTCCCGGAAATGTGAATCAACTTTAGCAAGCAAGGCAAGTACCTGTAGTAAGTTGTCAATGCAAGACAGGTTTCATCAAAAGGGCAACTAGAAACACTACATCCGCCAATACTCTTGAGAGACCCTATGTGCATCACCAGACATCCTGATCAAGCCATATGTTTTTTTACTATGGTGTTGAACACTAAGCTGCAATCACAACTGCCTCAGCCCAAGCACCGAAATATTTGGGTTATTGGACCCTGTTGGTACATACAGCGTGAAGGTGTCGGGTGGCAATTTCGTCCGGGCTTCAAGGGATTTGATGCTTGAAATAATTGGTCGGCCTATCCCGAATCCTAACTCCAGCCAGGGGACATGTTGTTTGCGCCCCCCGGGATGCTCACCGTCATACCCTCCAGCTCCTGCCTCAAGGGGTTTAGACATTTGGGAGGTCCAATGTTTCAGCTGAAGCCATGCAAAGACCTGTGCCGCCTGAGGATCTCGATGAAGCCTTGTAAAACCCAGCCTCGGGTTTGACACTTGCACGGGTTGCGCCTATACATGCGACCTGAGACTCCAAAGAGGCAATACCTGCCTCGGGGTCAAACTAAACAGTACCTACCTTGGGCTACTTGGCGTCATGCCTATAGTCTTCGTTGTAGTTCTTTCTTTTCGATTTAACCATTATATATATATATATATATATATATATATATCTCTCTCTCTCTCTCTCTCTCTCTTATAAGTTAGCCCCACAACAGGAAGTACGATGGAGACTGTAGGTAGGGCCAAGCCTAAACCCGGCTGAAGCCCCCCGGCCAGTAAAGCCTTCCAGCCCCTGGAGCCGGGAGCTTGAGCGGGCGCTCTGGAGCAAACAAAACTGAAATTGGTAAACCCCAACGGTTTAGGGCTTACGGTGTAGAGTTTCGGGATGCTTACTATAGGGCCAAACCTTACCAAATTTCTGAAATACCTTATTTTCGGTCCCTTTCTGCCTAACTCAGAGCATCCATGAATCGCCCTTACTTATCATGCCCGTGATAGCACCCCTTATGCTACTGTACCCCCTTGAAACACCTCACACAGACCTGTTTACGGTGATCCCACTTCAGTACTTGCAAAACCTGCGCTAAACGCCATGCCAATTAAACCTTGCAGCCCATACTGGTCCATACTCGCCCCATTACAGCGAAAGGAACCCAAACACCAACCCCTCTCTGCAACCCTAGAATCCTACAAGCCCCGCAGCCCAATCTATAGTAACCCACTGTAAGCAAAATCTCCGCCGAGGCACGTCAGCCGCAACTGGCAGCCCAGGCGTGACGTCTCTTGGGGTTCAAACGCCAGCTCTAACATGTCCTTTCGCAGTTGAAAGCCTTTGAAAAGTCTCGAACTTAGGGTTCAAGGTTTAGGCTCCAACATACGCTTGTCTTGTTGTCCAGTACGGTTTTTGAACTCAAGCCACCCGCGCTAAACCCTGGAAGGCTTCTCATCATTTAACATGCGGGGCTTTCAAAATATACAGGACTTGGAAACTATTCCCTATATAGTGTCCAGTGTGCATTTTGAGGATTTAACCAATTGTATGTGTTCAGGATCCTATACAACATGCCCTAAAAAGACCTATAATGGAGACTCCAGGTGGCATGCTTTGTATCCCGGTCGCATACAACAGAACAAGATATACAGCAACGCAGACTTCGGGAACTTAAAGAAAGCACGAAGCTGTCAGATACAGGTTGCAGTTTCAAGTTTTGGTCTCGGGGTTGATATTTTTGGTTTTAAGGTCGTTCCAAGGTTTCTAGATCACCCGGTTGGGCACAACTTCAGAAGGCTATCGCTCATTACCCCTTGAAATTCTATAAGACCAACATCGGCGGGTCATTCTAAAGGACAAGCCATGCCGGTTTAGGGCAACCAAACACGTATTGCCAAAGCGCTTGAAATACCTAAAGAAGAACGCAAGATGCTGGTTATTTAGGATTATTTCTTGCCGATGGGTGTTAATCCCATAAACCCTAAACCGTGCAAGTCTGTGTCCTGCTCTGCGTCGTCTGGGGGCCCTTGCCAGGACAGGAATTTCCCAAATCATTTCCCAAATCAAAACAAGCGAAACCTGTTGTCGAAGGCTTACATAATTCCAAGAGGACTGTTTTGCAAAATCAGGTAGTCAACCCGAAAAGCCCATAACCCATAACCTTAAACCCTGTAACCCTGGACCCTGCACCCTTTCACCCTAAACTAACGACTAAACCCCTAAACCCTATAATCCTACCACCTACCACCCTACCTTTATACAGAACCTTGTAGAGTCCTTGTGGTTTCCTGGTGCCTGGACCCTTGGACGACTGCTGTTTGTAGAGCCGTTCGGTGGTTTTTTGGAACAGATCTCACGGGCTATGGGATGTGGGCATGTTCCATCTGGTGATCCTCGCCGTGGTTTTCTAAATGGAAGTTTCCGAAAACAGGGGTACCTTATTTTGGGGGTCCTTATAATCGGGATCCGTCTATTTAGGGTCCCCTATTTTCGGAAACTCCCAAATTGGTGTTTTCGCAATGTGAAAATTATTTCGTGCCCACAACGGGGCTTACTACAAATTACTCAGAGCTGTGTACGACAGGCACGCCCGCCTGCCGTCTTGAACGAGGCCTCGTCCTTAGAGGGCTTGGGGAATGTGGGTTTCTAAAGGCTTTGCAGTTAACCCAAAACCCTAAACCTTCCCTCAAAGTTCTGTACATAGTCGGGCCATGGGGGTCTACGATTTTAGGATGCAGGCTTGGAGGCTTGAGGGTCATAGTTTAGGGTTCAGGGTTTAGGGGTTTAGGGTTTAGGGGTTTAGGGTTTAGTGGTTTAGGGCTTTTGGCCTTTTGGGCTCTCAGGTCTGCTCTTGGAAGTTCCGGGTCTTGACGCAAAGGGCGGCTGCTTAGATGATCGTTTCTTCGACTAGTGCGAAACTTTGGGGGCCTTCAGGGATTCGATAAGGGCTCCTCGTGCGTTTGGGAGCTTGGGATTTGGGGTTGTAGAGGTATAGGCGGTATAGAAAGTTTTCGATTCTTGCCTTCCGGCTGCTCAGTATGGTTGTAAGCCAAGTCACGCCGAAGACGCCGACCCGCAACATTAGGCCCAGAAGCCTAAAGCCCTAAAGGAACCGAGGCCCCTATCTATATACATATATATATATATATATATATATCAACAAAATGCCCTGGCAAAATAACTCTCTCTCTCTCTCTCTATATATATATATACATGTATATATATAATACATAATATGTATATATATATATATATATATATATATCACTGTATCCCTGGAGTACCTGTATTAGAGGCCCTCTAGCCGGATAGACCCCATGTAAACCCCCTAAGGGTCCAAGTACCAAATAATCACATACTCTCCAAAATCCTGACCTACATAACTACTATCCTAAAACCGCGTACCTAATTCTTGGGTCCTTTGGACCCTTAGGGACCCTGAAGCAATCCTACCGCCGGAACCTGAGACTTGGCTCCTCAATGGGCACTCACGGTCGGGATCCCCGAACTTGAAGTCGATAAACCCATCGGCCGCAAGACCGTAGGAAGTGCCCCCCAAAAGCACCGATAGTCAGAGAAAGGGTATTGAAGACATGCGAGTCGCGGGGACGTCGGAATAGAGACTACGTGGAGCCGATCGGGATTCCGAGGATCAGAGCACAGAGCATCGAGGGAACAAGGATACACACAGCGCTACATTCAATAGCCATTGCGATATTCCGACCCTGCCATCCAGCAACTATGCCAGCCTCTACCGCTCGTCGCCCAGGGTGTGAGAGGCCTAGCGGCTTTCTGCAGGATATCCGCCTCCAGCATCTGGAGGTAGGGTCCCAGCCGCTTTACCGGGCTGAGGGTGGCCTCGACGATGGCAAGGAGCCGAGGCCAAAAGCAGACGAAGACCAGATCGCGTCCAGATCTCCGCCTGTCAGAACATGTGTGTCATGTTTCCAGCCGCGACCACCGAAGGCTGGCATGCACAAACGACCAGGCGTTCAACGTTTACTTGGCCAAATTAAACAGCTGACGGGCGACCTGCCATCTGGATATTGCCGAAGCCGCGATCACTGTATGTGATCGCGTTATCGGCCACGGCGATGCCAGTCGGAGGCAGAATAGCAATGAAGACCTGTAAGTCCGTCACCGCGTAGCATGGGTAGCGCCAGGCCTGCCACATGCGGGCAGTCTACATCAGAACACCAATCGGCCTCACACCGGTGTCCTGGAAACGGTAACGCAGAAAGCAGACCGATCTGTTTGGAGCAAGCGTCTACCACGCGCCCCTGCATCGCCACGCCGCCCATGATAACGTAAACCTCGTCGGCGGCGAGGTTGCTGCCCGACTCGCATGCAGCGACCAGGGTGGCTGCTCTGTCCGGCCTAGAGATCAATCAAAGGGGAGACTACCAGATTTTCTGGGGCACCAACTCAGGTGATGATCGTAAAATCACGGAAGTAGGCTCCCGGCATGTGGAGGTTCATTCGCCCACGCCGGAGTTTCTCCCGCGTATGGCAGAGGCTGGAGAGCCCAGTCGCCAGCGCGAACTTTGTCCCACGCCTCCAACTCCCGGCGGCGGTTTCCAGACCTTCTTTTCGGAAAGGGCCCACGTCAGTCGGCTCCATTAGCGAGAACGTCAGCGTGTGACACGCCAAAACGCGAGCGGCAGCCAAAGCAGACGCATACGCACAAACATGCGCGCACACACGCAAGCACACACAATCACACACCATGCTTTGGAAAGGTGGTATTGGCAATAGTGCTATGCCTACGAAGATCTGGGTATCAGTAGGTTGAAATTATTCATGCACAGTTCGGTCCATGCTGAAGGTGGCAGATATGCAACTTGGAGCACCTTAAACCCAAGCTCTCAAATCCTTCAGCCCTAAACCCTTACATCCTATAAACCCTCAGCTCTAGAAAACCCTCAACCCTTGACCCACAACCTAAACCCTTAAACCCTAAGGCTTAAACGTTTAAGGTCTAATGTTTCTAAGGCCACGACCAGGTAGACGTGGCATGTTGAGCAGGCCATGACGCCACTGCAGGCGCACTCGATGTATTCCTGCTCTTGCTGCCGGTGCTGGGAGATGATATGTGATTTCAGAGGCTGAAGTTTCACAAGTCAAAGGGTTTAGTTTGAGTTTAGGGTTTAGAGCTTGGTGCAATCGGCAGGTGGCTCGAAGGCCTGTGTTACTCAGGTTCTTTGCGTCAATAGCCGCCTTGCAAAAGCTAGCTGCGTGCACCCAACGCTCCCGCAGAAACGCATTTGCTCAGACAGCACATGCAGTATAGCCTGAATTATACAACCTGGGACCCGAAACCCTAGCTCTCAACCCACAGCTAGTTGCGTTGTCCGGTACGGATTGTTACAGGTCCGGAGAACATACTGCGGGCTTGGGAAAGGTCTCTACGACTACGATTGCCACAGCCGAAGCACAGGATGCCCCCAAAGCCCAAGAAGCACAACATTGGCAACACTCAGGGTCTAAGAACCCGAATTTGAGGTTCTCCGGCTTTACATACCGCACCACACTCTGAAAACCATGCAGGAAAAGCCATAGAATCCTGGAAGTAACAACCAGAGACCAAAGGCCGCAGACAAACACCAGGCAAAGCCATGAACCCTAAACAATACCTTGAACTACCATGTAGGTTCTTATTGTAAACCCGAAAATAGGCTTTGCAGGAACCCTACAAGCAGTAGGTCTTCGCAGTTCTAGTCAAGCTAGACACTAAAACACAAAACCCTAAACCCGAATGCCTAAACTAGGGCCTAAACCCTAAACCCGAATGCCTAAACCCTAAAAACCCTAAACCGTAAACCCAAACACCTCATAGAATAGCAGGTTATTGGACTTGTTCTCATTGTACACCCTTATAGATGTCATAAGGACCCCACAAAAAAGTAGGTTTTGGCAGCTCAAGGTATGCTAACCCAAACGGCTCATATATACGACCATCTCTAAATTAAACTACGCCCCAAACGACCATCCCTCTGATGGCTTTGAAGACCGAATACCATCATGGTAGTATGTATGGATCCTCTGGGATTATGGCCCCTTTATTGTATGCATAGTCATTATAAGGAGCCCTGAGGAATAATATTCCTGTGGGTTAGGCTCCCCAAGGCGAGGGTCCGCCAGAAGAGCGGCGCCCTCGCCACGGCCGTGCTCGGCGACCTCCTTTGGCGTCTAAGAGGTCTCGGGTGTTGGATTGAGGGTTCAGGGTTTAGGGCTTTGGGCTTTGGGCTGAGGACTTAGGGTTGAGGGTTCAGGGTTTAGAGCTTTGGGCTGAGGATTTAGGGTTTAGGATTCAGTGTTTATGAACGTTTATATAAGGGTTTTGACCGGATAACCGGGGTTCTTGGTCCAGAGCAGGGGATGCAAAGTCAAGGCTCTGAGGCCTATAAGACCCGATCTGGCAAGAATCCAGAGTCCTGAACCCGAAACCGCAAATCCCACCACACTGGAATACAGCTTTCGTAACGGAGACTGCGCGATGTTCGACATCTCACACTACTTACGCCTCGCAGTGTGACCGAAGGTAGTAGTTTGAATAGCATGAGAAGACGGATTGAACTCAGAAACTAGAAGTTCAACAACCCTGCAAAACAAAAAGAAATGCCCTGCTACAACCGCCCCAACCATGAACCCCTTGGGCAACAAGCCGGTGACCCAGAATTCCTAAGCCCTAACTACTATTTGCTTAAGAACCCCCAAGAAAATAAAAATCATCATCCCTATATTACCCCCATAAGGAATATATTTCTTACTTTTTGGGGGTTCTTAAGCAAATAGTAGCTAATAAACAAAGTCTTTAAACTGCTGCTTTCCGGATTCGTCGCATTCGGCGGTCTTTCTGCGCAACCGAGTGTGTGAGACAGACCCGACATGAGAGCTTCATGGCTCCGGACGGCCCTAAACTCAAATTCTACAATTGTTTTTTTGTTTTCGGATTTAGTAAAGTATAAACCCTGAGAACCTGAACTCTGCACTCTGAACCTTGTTGAACCCTACTCACTACACCCTCAGACCATCACCCTGAGGCAAAAGGTTGAACCCTACACCCCAATTCCCACACCCAAAACTCGAAGCCCTACCCTATACCCTAGATCCTAAACCTTAAAAAACCCCAAAACACTAAACCCCCCTAAACCCCAAACCCCTGCCAACACTCTCAAGCCCTACACCCTATAGGGCTGCTCTGAGTTACCTTCAGTTTCGGGAACTTCGGTGCTACGATACTATGATGGGAACTCTAGGGCTTAGGGTTTAGGCTTAGGGTTTAGGGGTTTAGGGTTTTAGGGTTTTACGGTTTACGGGTTTAGGGCTTAGGGTTTCATGATGGGAACTTGAGGGAACTTTACGGTTTAGGGGTCAGACGTTGGATCAACTTACGCGTGGGATTCTCTCCGACTTTGGCTCTAAAGGGCTCTCAGGTGAGGCTTGGGATTGAGAAGCGGACTGGGATCCGGGTATGCTCTACTATGATCCGCTTCGAGAGGAGCCTTCATGAGTTCTAACGAAGGCGACAGGGCAGCCAGAATCTCTCACATCCCTGCTTGGCGAGGGTCTAAGGAGCACAAGGTCGTGATCCCGTCAGCTGACCATTCAGAGTCATTTTTGATCACAGCAGAGCATCACTACCCTAAACATAGCTCTTGGGGCTTGTGTTTTTTAGGGTTCGGGGGGTTCGGACTCTGAAGCAGAAAATCGAACCTTTACCATGCGGTCCTGCTGAGACTTGTCGTGATATGATTTGGTAGACTGATAGTAGGACTAAAGGCAGGGGAGCGCTGAATCTCATAAGGATTGAGCTGCGGCTGAAAGATGTGCTTTTCATTACTACTGCCCCCAAAGGACCTGATAGACGCAACAGACTTATATACCAAAACAAACACACACAATGATTATGCATGCGTGTACATGTATGTGTATGAATGCATGCATATGTGTGTACAGATGCAAAAATACATATGTATGATTATGCACACCTACGCATGAGAAGCTTTCTTATTGCTTTACGTCATACCCGTTTAACACACGGAATCTTGCATGTCATGCACTCACTAAGGCACCCCGATTTATCTGTTGAAGTGTCTCCTGCAATTTTACTTGCGAGGTCTACTCCAGAGTGCTTGTCACTCAGCGCATGCCGGGGAAGTTGCTGAACGCCTCGCGATGCCTGCAGCAGAGGCAAGTGAGGAATCTAGCCTCCCAGAACCCCTAATAGTGCTTCGGGGCTTCCGGCTCATGGCTTTGGCGGCTTAGGGTCCAAGCCTCAGCCTTTTCCTGCGGCGTTGGTGCTAGAAGGGGACTGCAGCAGAAGCATAGTATTTAATTTTGCGATGTTTGCGGTAGGATTCCACCCGCCTGCTTCTTGGTGCAGTCTTCCGAGCAGGCTTCAGTTTGGAAGTACTTACTCAGGTTGCCATCCATCCATCCATCCATCCATCCATCCAGGCATGAATGCAGGCATGTAGGCCGCGGAGTCACGATTTAGCGGTTGACAAGACTGTGGGCTGGGCGCCTTAGGGTGAAGGGCCTGCAATACTGCTGATGGACAAAATCCTGCATTACCTTTTATAAGGAATATACCATAGTTCCCATAGTTTAGAGTCCTTAGGGTCATGCAGGATATTGTCCATCAACCGTAGCACCTGCCAGAAGCGATTCTTGCAGGTGTCTGATGGCATTGGCATTAAGCGATTGACCCAAGGGTCGGGTGTGAGGGCAAAGAGCTAACCAAATATATAGACTATAGTATCCCGAACAGGTTAACGGTTACTTACTCTACTGCTACTTTAGAAGTGCCTGTTTCAGTTTAGGTCTTGATGTCCGCCTCGCGTACATGGACAGGAAGATGATCGTGAAGATAACGCCGGCGACCTGTCTTGCAAGCTCTAAGCCAGTTAATGGCAGTGACATACACCCTGTACTGCTTCTTCTTATTTTTAGGATTCTAACATAGGTAATAAGGGCCTTAATCATTAGAATAGGATTTTGGCGCCCAGTACATTATAATTGTGGTTAGCCCCTTCTTCCTCAACTTGTACGGACAAAGCCTTCTTAACAATGTCGGTGACAGCCTGTTGTACTGATTTAGGCTTCGGGGTTTAGGGCCAGGGTTTAGTAAGTTTTGTATGCCTTTGATGCGACAACGGCAGAAATGACAATGACGACAGGGGTTGTGGAGTTGAGATGATGTGATGAGCTGATGGTGCCGTTGGTGACGACATGTGACGACCACGATCCTCATGGTGGCCGGTCACGGGGCACGCTCACACCAAGCACCGGAAACGCAAGCGCACAAGAGCCCCGTCCACGCTCACAGCGAAAACCCCTGACTCTGTCTCAAACCTAGACTCCTAAAAAATCAAAAACCCAACCAGAAACTCTCAAGCTCCAAGAAACCCGGGAATAAATACAAACCCCAAGACTCAACAATGCAATCTTAACCTGCAACCCCTGCCGCCCCCGCAAGCAAAAAACAGTGCCCTGTAGATTTTTGTACCAAGGAGCAACACTGCAAACTACTCCCATCTACCACTGAACTTTTGAAACTCCAAAACCTAGACCTTCAAACCCTAAACCCTGGAACCTCGAACCCTGTAACCTCAAACCCGAAATCCTAAAACCCTAAACCCTCAAGCCGTAAACTCTATCACCCTAAACTGTCCAGCTGGAACTCTGGGGCTCCGGCAACGATGTAGATCCTCGGTTAAGGGCGCGGTTTTGGGTTTTGGGGTTGCGGGGTTTTAGGTGTGGGGGTGTAGGGTTTGCGGTTTCGGTCATAGGGGTGTTGGAGGTTTTAGGGGTTACTTTCTTTTTTGTTTTTTTAAAGCCCTCTTTTCCAACTGCCCAAAGGTTAGTCCGCCAGATTTGGAGGGTTTAGGGTATACCTTAAACTGCCATACCCGGCTTCTTGGTCTACCTTCATCCTGCCTTTTCAGGCCCTTGAATCACCAGGCCCAAGAATCAGCATGAAAAGGGCGCAGCCGTCGATGCCGAGGATGTCCGACCGAGGGTTCTCGCCGTACTTCTTCCGAAAGTACTCCACCTAGGAAAGTGGGGGTTTGCATCTTTCTATTCTGCTTGAAAGGTGTAGGGTGTTCGCTTTGCGGTTTTGGGCGATACATGTAGGCTATGACCCCGTCAGTATAGGGAATAAGCCTTGACACGGTAAGTTGTTGGATCCCAGACAACCCTTGGGTCACCATTCAAAGGCCCAACACCCGAAATCCTAAATACATACTATAGACTCTTTATGGATCCCACATGGGGGTTTCCGAAAATTCGTACACTAAATATTTGCATCCTTATTAGTATAAGGGCCTCAAAATAAGGCGCCCCTCATTTTTGGAAACTCCCATAGAGGAAACCGCTTGTATGATTTTAAAAGGACAGGGGTTCTGGGATTTCGAGGCACGAGGCTTTCGCGTACTTAGAGGCCCAGGGAACTTAGTATGTAGGTTCCTTAAAAAAGTTCCTTGAAGGGATCTATAAGAGTTCTATAAAGGAGGGGATATGGTCATTTAGAGGCCCAAGCGACTTAGTAAGTAGGTCATAAGTACCCTAAATGGAGTTACACCAGCGATATCCCTACTTATAACCTACTTACTAAGTTTCCTGGGCCTCCACGCAAGCTATGTAAGGTCTTGGGGACCTCGGGCATTCGGACTTAGGCCCACGAATGATCACGAAATTCAAGAGTAGCAAACAAACCTTCACAAAAAAAACAACAAGGACAGCTATAAGCATAAGTAATATTGCTGATCGTATTCTGCTACGAACATGGTTATCCATCTGGACTCATCATGTTGGCTTGGTTCGTTGAGACTTCGGCTTCGGGTCTTGGTGGAGCTCTGCGGGCTCTTGGCGTGTCTGTCTTGGGTCACACGAAAACGATGCCTCATTCAGGGGCTTAGCGGTTGGAAGTCTTGGGCTTTTAGTCCCAGGGCTCTAACTACATAACTAAAGTTTAGTGGATTTAGAGCTTTGGCTTAGGGTTTAGGGTTTTGGTTTAGGGCTTATAGAGTATACGGTTTAGGCCTACCTAAAGCTATTTGGAGTGGCTATGGGGCAAGGCTTACGCATGGTTGGCGTAGTCTCGGAGATTCCTGACACAGTCCCCGGTTGATGAGATAAATCCTGCATTACCCATAATAGGGAATATACCATAATCATTGTTCCCATACTTTAGGGTCCTTAAGGGCAGGATTTATATCATCAGCCGTCGGACTGCGAATGACTGCTCTCCTTGGGACTGTCGTTGGAGCACCTACACCCTCAACCCTAAACCCTCGGCTCTATCAGGTCTATATACATATATGGGTGGTTGTCAAAATTAGGGTCCCTTTTTGGGTCCTTAATATACTACGGCACCTATTCTTTAGGGTATCCAAAAAGGGACCTTAATTTTGACAACTACCCATATAGTTGCATAATACAAGTCGCAAACACCCGAAGCTCGAAAGAGGTTGAACCAAAAACTGAGATCTGCGGCGTACTCCTGGTCAATCACGTCCACCTCTTCACCATCATCCTGGCTGTAAGCCCCAGGGATTCAGAGCTTCCCTAAACCCTAAACCCTAAACCCCTAAACCCTAAACCCTAAACCCCTAAACCCTAAACCCCTAAACCCCTAAACCCTAAACCCTAAACCCTAAACCCCTAAACCCTAAACCCTAAACCCTGGGGGTGCTGGGCCTTCCAACCTCTGTCTGCGTACCCCGCTGCCCTAAGTCGCACATTCTCACGCTGCAAAGCAGTGAGCCCAGGCCCCTAAGAGCCAACACTTGGTGTTCAGAGGATATCCCTTTATTAAGGAGTATACCTTAATTCATATTAGGGACCTTACCATAATCTAAGGAAATTTTTTACGCAAAAGGAAAAAGTTCAGGAAATGGGCTTGGGCTGGGGGTGCAGCTTGGGGTGCCAGGCTTGAGGAGGTCTTAACTGAGCATCGGAGATGCGGGACAATGCAAAGTAAGGGTTTCGGGCTTTGGGTTTAAGGGTTTCAGGGTTCACAGCTTAGAAGCCTCAGCCTCAATAAACCCTAAACCGTTACCTGTTTAAGCAACTAAAAAGCTCCAAGCTCTGGACCTCCAAACTCCAAAGCCCCGACATAGCCTCCTCTTCCTTCTTCTTCTGTTCTGAGTCCTTCTCCACCTGCGGGGTTTCGGGCTCTTAGCAGCATTCTTGCACACAGATCTGCTTGCAGGAATTCGGATTTGGTGTCTTCAGTTTCCACATGTTTTCAGATGGCTTCGGAAGTCACCTACTAATCAATGGTTTCGTATGCCCTTCCAAGGTTTTATCGTAAAAGAGTCTACCAGAGCTACCGGCCCTACTGCCTGCAAGGCTTGCGAGCGATGGTCGTGGTAAGAACATTCCAGGCTCCGGTTTAATAACGAGACTCTCCGGGAGCCCTGAAAAAAACCATATATTAACCCCTAAACCCTAAACCCTAAACCGTGCCATATATGACTAGTCCCTGAAACCCTGCAGTAGCCTTATAATGGAACCCTGCACCTTGAAGCCGTAAACTCCAAAACAGTGTAACCCTCATCGACGCCCTTAATAACTTAATACGTGCTGGGCCCTTATCCCCATAATGGCCACTAGACCCTTCGCCCCGAAAGCCCCAATACAAAAAACAAAGCAAACCTCCGGAAAAAAAAAAATGCACCAAACCGCAACAACAAACAAAATAGAACAAAGGCCCTAACACCAAACCCCAAAAACATCCCCTAACCCCCAAACCCTTCAAACTCCCACTTGGAGGCTCAGGGGTAGTTATAAGTAGGGCTATAAGTCCCTAAATATGGGTTAGAAGTCTAGTTACCCTACTTATAACCCTATGCTTATGAGTATACTTATAACTATCCATGAACCTCCAAGCAAAGTCCCAGAAGGCATTTTCACAGCTCTCCGCCTTGCGGCGCCGCAAGGCGGCCTCGTCTCCCACGGCGGAGGACATGGTGCGGGCCTCTTGAAGGTTTCAGGGTTTTTAGGGTTTAGGGTCTTTAGGGAATTTAAGGCTTTTAGGGTTTAGGGTTCAAGGTTGGGGGTTTAGGGCATAGGATTTAGAGTTCAAGCGTTTAGGGTTTAGTGAAAAGGGCACTGTAAGGCTTTATGAGCGTTCTGCGGGTTCTATACGGGTTCTTAGGGGGATATCGGAAGACGGCTTTATCGGGTTCCCGTTAGGGGTTATGTAGTAGAAACTGGGGGAATTGGTATGTCGGGTCTAGTTCTGTGGTTTCGGGTTGAGGGTTTAGGGTTGAGGGTCTACATAGTCCCTAAACCCTAAACCCTAAACCCTAAGGGCGTTTTAAGGACTGTCTCTTTGTGTCAATGGAAGCAGGCTTAAAGCTAGGGCCTGGAGGGTTTTTCGGGTTTTTTTTGGCAGGATTGCTTCTTTGTATCATTTTGACTAAGGCTTTTAGGGTTTAGGGTTTAGGGTTTAGGGTTTAGGGTTTAGGGGCTTTAGGGTACAAGGAGTCTACATTTGGTGTTGTAAGGTCTTTGTAGGCCTCTGTCCTCGTAGCCTAGGCTGTAAGAGAATTTTCCTAAAGTGACCGAAGCACCTTCAATAGAGCAATGTGCCTATTCCGTCGGGATCATTTCAAAGGTACATAAAATGGCAAGAATCAAGATTATATGGAGCTTCTGGCAAAACTCGGACAATGAGTAGTTCTGCAGTTCCGCATGTATTTTCTGAACTATGTGTGCCTTTTCACGTTAGCATCATCAGACCTGCGGCGTCTTAACTTCAGGGCAAAGGCGCAGGCTTCGTGTTCTGGTCATGTAAGACGTCCCATATGTATTAAGAACTTTGACGCCAGGTTTACCTGTTGCACCCTAAACCCTAAACCCCTCAAACCCTAAACCCCTCACCCCTAAACCCTGGGCGGTTTCCGAGAAAAGCAATGAAGTGGACTCCTGTAGACCCAAGCTGCAGCCCTGGAAACGAGCCGTGGTGTACCTGTTTACGGTTTAGGGCTTGGATTTTCTGGACCCCAAAGCGCCGGAGCGCAAAATTCAAGCAAACAACAGTGTACTTGAACACCATGGCCGAAACTCTAAATCCTGATGCTGATTCAAAGGGGAAATGGAGGGACCCTTAATGGGGACCCCTACCCTATAATGAGCTATACAATGCGTATATAAAAGCTATATTAGGGGTATATAACTAGGGGTCCTTATCAAGGGTCTCTCCTTTTACCCTTGGACTGATGCTGTCGAGGTACAGGTGGCACTAAACAAGACCCTGCAGGCTCTGCAACTCTTCTAGCCTGCCTTGAGCCACTCTTTGTCTGCAGATGCTGCATTTGGGGCATGTGACATGTTTCAGTGAGTGCAGGGCTACTTGCAAGAAGCCTGCAGGTACGAGCTTGTACGTGCTCCAGAATCCCACGGCCAAACGAAAACCCCCTGCGACGATATAGAAACAAGACTTACTCCTGCACTGGGTACAGACCTAAATCAACAATTGCAAGTGTGCTCCATTCAGCACTAAGCCAAGCGTAGCCATCGTAAGACCTTTGTCGGAATCAGGATAGCAACACGGAGCACGCGCGCAAGCTAGAGCAAAAAGAATGTGCCAGCAAACATAACCTAAACCAAGACTTAAACCCCCAAACCCCCAAGCCCAAACCCTCCCATCGCCCCCTCCCCGCTTCAAAAGAAAACACCCAAGAAACCCCCCAGACAAGGCCGGTCGGCTCCTTGACTCCCCCTTAACCCTAAACCCTAAACCCTATACCCTAAGCCCTAAACCCTGAACCCTAATTCCTAAACCAAACCCTAAACCCTGAACCCTAAACAAGTCCGGTCGGCTCCTTGAGAGACATGCCCTCAAAGCCTTCGCAGGGAAAGGGCTGCGCTCCCGGAGCTTGGACCTGGAAACCTGGGTGGGCGTACGATTCTTTTGGTAAAAGCCAGAAAGTTGGAATATGATTATCCTAGCCCTTCTATTGTAAATTATAAGGTATCCTACCCTGAAACCATATTCCAACTTTCTGGAGTTCCCTTTATGGCCCCTAAAGCCTAAACCGACTTTCCTTTGAAGGTTCTCTGAGGAATAATATGGTATATAAAGTTTCCTTTAGAGGCTGTACAACGATTCTATAGAGTCTAGGAGGGTTTAGGGTTTTAAGGACCAGGATTCTATAGGGAATGGGGATTAGGGGAAAAGTCTCCAATGCTATTCTTTCTTTATTAAGCTTGACGAAATAGGGATTTAGGACGCTATAAGGTACGATGGAGACTACCAGTAGGTCTCTCCGGCGAGGGCTTACGTTTTTGGGGATAGGGTTCCAAGGGTTCGGGTTTGGGTTCCTGTTCAGGGTCCAGTATTTTTGGGTTTAGGGCTTCTGGGTGTAGGGTTTAAGTTTAAGGTTTCGGAGTGTCCAGGAAGGGCACCTCTCACAATCCCGAAGACCCAGCCTAACCCTATAGCTTCAACCTTAAACCCGGAACCCCAACACTTCAACCCTATAGCAATGCACTTCAACCCTATAGCAATGCTCCGAGGCCATAGTCCAAAACCCCAAACCTCGGACGCTCCGGCCAAAACCCTATAGGGAGTCGAAAGCAAACGTTCTAGGACCGAGCTAGGCACGAATAAGCGTCTTGCCCTCCTGAGCACTCAAGTCCTGGGGCGTGATCAGAAGTGGCTTGTGGAGCTCGTGCTTCGGGGTTTTCGGCGCGGGATAGGAATCCAAGATGTGGTTCGGGAATTGGCAGGGCTGTAGCGGTTGATGATATAAATCCTGCATTACCAATAATAAGGAATATACCAGAAATCCCATAGTTTAGGGTCATTAATGTCATGCAGGATTTACATCATTGCAAGAACTACGGTCTACGGTGCAGGCTCTTGAAGAGTGCGAGGCTTACGGAAGAAGTCCTCTACACGTTGGGCTCAGGGGGAGGTTCCGGGAGGGCAACCCCAGAGTTGAAACGCGCTATAGCCGCAGACCTTGACACCCTGAGGCCCTAAACCTTCAACCAGCCCTCAACGCCTTCACATCCGAAACCATCTTTGAAACCCTTCAAAAAAATACTAAAACGATACACCCTCAAACACTTCAAAGCCCTCTGCTTCGAGTGAGGCAAATAAAGAGCACATCCCTGAACCCTGAATGGGCAGTTCTCTGAAGTAGGGTCACGTCTTGAGTCCCAAAAACCGCATGGCACCCTTATTAAAAAAAGGCCCCCAGAAGGGCCAACCATTCAGAAAACTAGCGAAATCCTAAAACCCTAACGCTGGCGCGCGCCCCAACCCGTTCGAATGATGCTGTTCAGCATAGCATAGAATAGTATAGTATAATATAATATAGTGTAGTAAAGTATAAAAAATAGAAATTATAGTATAGTAACGTCCTTCGCCCGCAAACGGGAGACATCAGCGGATGCAGCTTCAGGTTTTTGCGTTCATAGAGCTTAGGGCCCGCAAGGGCTGTATCGGACTTAGATTACCGCAGTGTGGTGAGTTGAGAAAAAAAGGAAACAACGGATCGAGATCGGGGCATGTCGGACTCCAAACCCTACACCCGAAACTCCTGCAGCACTTCTTTTCAGGGCCATGCGCTCCGGAGGGTTGAGCACTATAGTGGTTATAGGCATCAAAAATGCTGCGACGGTTAAAAATGTCACAAGACATCGAGTCATGGAAAGCCACCGCCTCGTGCCGACGTACAAGATCGACCAAGATCCCAGTCTAATATGCTGGCACACCCACTCAGAGAAGATCCTCACTCCTCGACATTTGGGTTGACCTTTTTCGGATCGTGAAGGTACTTCAAGTGGAGGTCGAGGGCCTCTTTGGTGTCAAACAGCTGGTTGTTGACAGGTGACTTGAACTTCCCGTTCACTTTGATGCCGACGTTGGCAAGGGTACCGTCGCCAGATTTTGCCGCCTCGCTGATTTCCATCTTTGCATCGCTGCTCATGTTGCACTACAGCGGCACTGAGGACGGTCCAAACGCGATCGCTGCACCACGACTCGATTCACTTGAGCCAAATACGTCCAGGCGTGCTCAAGAACTCCGAAGAATGCTCCTCATAAGCTGCTGACATGTGGCTTGGGATCTAAGGTCTAACGCTATAAGTGTCTATACGGCTTAAGGTCCGTAGGCTTTAGGTCGATATAGGGTTTAGAGTAAAGGATCTGGGCGGCACCCTTGCCCGGATCGGAACTAGTTTCGTGGAATGCAGGAAGTGGGATCATCTGATACTCAGGCGAGGCCCAGCCTCCAAATACATAGCCTAATTCGGGTGTCGTTTCGTGTTCCAAAAACGCGAAGCTAGTCTGTGCATCTTGCACTGAACAGTCGGGGATGGCTGCCGGTTGAAGCATTGTGGTCTCACAAATTGGCCGAATTGAGGAAGGCAAGGTCCAGATGCTTCAAGCAGTCTGCAGGTGGGCTGAAATTTCACGGTTTAACAACTAGATCAAGACAAGACCGACAGCAGCGTTGGACTGGAAACGCGGATCGACTAGATATGTATGCACGGATGTGCCTGTTGCTGTGTATGAGTACACATGCACACGCATGGTTGGTGTTGGTACTTCGAAGTCTTTGCGTGTTAGGATGTCAGGCCTTTGCCTTCGGAGCTTCACGGCTTCATTAGGGTTTAGGCTTTAGCGGTTTGGCTATTGGGTTCAGGCTACAACAATACCCAGACGAAGCTACAACATATTGTATACGTGTTGCATGGTCATAGGGCTATTCTAGTCAAAGTGCTTCCTAAATGGCTCACCATGAGGGTTCCTGCAAGCATAACCATGGGAGCCCTTCAACCAAGAATCGCTCAAACCCTCATAGAGACAACAAGAGTGGGAAACCATCCTAAACCCTAAACCCTAAAGGGCCCTAAACCCTAAACCCGGAACCCTAAACCCTAAGCCCTAACCCTAGGCCACAAACCCTATAGACCCTACACCCTGAACCCTATAAACCCTGAACCTAAACCGGCTCCTGCTCCACGCTCTTCGCCAGGGCATGCAGGCCTGCGTCTTCGCCAACCTGGCACAAGCGAACCGGTTTCTGTAACTTCATAATATGTGTGTGTATATACATATATATACATACATAGGCCTGACAAATTTAGAATAGGGTTTAGGTTTTAGGGTTTAGGGAACTTCATAATAGCCTTTGAAGGGCCCTATATGAAGGCTACTATAAGGAATCTATAAGGGTACTACCTTAAAACTTAGAATAGGGTCTTGGGGCCCATTATACTATCGTTATAACCAAGAACCCCATTATGGGGTCGAGTACATTTCTAAAACGGAGCTTCGATAACGCGTGTATAGAATGGGGTGAATCCTGGGAGCCAAGGGTGCAATCAGGGAGTCTCGAACCCCGAAGCTGTGCACGAGAAATATGACGGGCTTGTCAATTATTAGGGTTTTTTTTTTTGAACGCCTTTTTCCATCCGCCGGGATAGAATCCTGTAACAGGAATTATTAGGGGTTTAGTGTTTAGGGTTTAGGAAACTGGGAAATAAGTGACTAGCAGTTATTCAGCTTTCAAGAAGAGTCTCTCTGGAGCACGCACCGACCATGACCATCATGCACCCCTGAAGCCGTGATCTTGATACATTGCGCCATCGACCTGCTTGCCGCCCTCCCTCCGGAAACGAACCTCAAAGCAAAGTTTAGGGTTTAGGCTTTAGGGCAAGCATCCGGCAAACCCTGCGCCGGACCCACGGTGAAACTGGGTACCCAGAGAGCCCAATACCCCTTAATCAAGGAACATAGCTTAAATCATAATATGAAGCCCTATATAATTTGAGCCATATTCCTTAATTAAGGGGTATTGGGCTCTCTGGGTAGTTCCCCCAGAATCCGACAGCCTCCCAGCGACCGGCTAAACCTTGCACCGCCGTCAGCAACTTCCCCGGGAAGATCCCAGAGCCTGATGGACAAGTGAATAATGTAGGAACCTCCTTTAAGGGGTACTATAAGGGTTCCTCTAAAGGGTACGAGAAGGGTACTGCAACCTCAGAGCCTGATGGAAGTGAATTGAATGATGTAGGACCCACAAAGGGGCCCTTGGGGTCGAGGGTCTATAGGGTTCCTGTAAAGGGTGCTATAAGGGTACTATAAGGGATCTGTAAGGGTACTATAATGATGTAGGTAATGTAGGAACCGCCTGTAAAGGGTCCTATAAGGGTTCCTTTAAAGGGTACTATAAGGGTACTGCAGGGGTTTTGGGGTCTAGAATGTAGGAACCTGATTAAGAAACCTTCGGCCTCTTATTAGGGTTCCGTACAGGAATCCTACTGTTTTGAGAGTTACAGGCCCAGGCAGGGTTTCTTAATCAGGTTCCTACATTGTGCTCTGCAGCTTAGGATAACTGTTAAGGTCCTCGTAACAAGAGTGACACTTGATTGACTTGGGGTATCCCACGTGGGGCCCCAATTTAAGGGCGTGCCCAAGGACTGTGAGGGCGCCGGGCTCGCAGCGGTTGCAATGGTACGGGTGATGATATAATTCCTGCATGACCTGAATCACCCTAGACTATGGGAATTAGGGCGTATTCTGTATCATGGGTCATGCAGGACTTGCATCATCAACCGTAGCTTAAACGCCTGCTTTGCTTTCGCGTGTTGGTCTCCGGCAAGGAAGATGATGTTGCACGAGAAGGGCTCGGATGCCCATTTTCAAAGCCTTGCCTACAGGAGTCCCTCCTAAGTGGACCCTATTATACCCAGGGACTCCAATATCCCTTAATTAAGGAATCTACCTTAAATTATAGTAGGATCCCTAATGTGATTTAAGGAATCTTCCTTAATTAAGGGGTATTGGAGTCTCTGGGTAGAGAACACCATTAGATATATGCAATTAAGGGGACCCTACTAGAGAACCCTGTGGTACCCCTTAAGCGGGACCCTATGACAGAACCCTGTAGTGACCGCTAAGGCTCCCTAAGCCTTGGCTGAATCTGCCAATTTCGATTAGTTTTGGGAGGGTTTAGGGTTTAGGTGGGGGATGTACGAAACTCTCCAAGCGATTCAACAAGGCTAAGCACTAAACACCCTAAACGCTGAACACCAAAACCCGCAAGCCCTTGTAAGCCCTGCTTGCATCAGATGCGTTTCCTAGAGTACGAAGCTGCTCCAGCCCTAGCCCATTAGGCCCTGATTCCTGAATAAACACCCCTAAGCCCTAAACCCTGAACGCCTAAACCCTAAACCCCAAAACCCCTACGCCCCGAACCCTAAAGCCCCAATGCCAAAAACCTACCAAAAGCCTGAACTCAAATCCTACAAACAGCTCAATACTCCTGAATCCCCAAGTTCCTTCTTTCGCCATGAACCCACAGTCCTGGCGAGACCAGTGCTGTGAGGATGCCATCCGCAACGGCCGGCGAGTACCCACCTCGCTCCGAAAGAGTGCAGAAGTTCGGGAGGGTCTACAGTGTTTTAAGATGTGGGCATTTAGCGCAGATAGTTTTGGCTTCGGGTTCACGGGCCTGTGCGGCTCAGAATGTTTAAACGCCTACAACCCACAATTTACGACATTTTACAGTTTGGGGTTTCGGGCGCCGCCGGTGCTGAGGGTTGCGTTTACGTCCAGCTTGGGAGGCCTAGGCAGCTTGACGATTTGGGGTATCTATGCTCTCAGCTCTGACTGGGTTCTTGTTAAGGGATGTATGTCATTTAAGTTACCATAATACACAAACCATATTATTTACTATAGATCCCTCTTATGGTAAACTTCACCCCCTTGACAGAAACCCAGTATAGCGTTGAGGGATGGAGGGTTGATCGTTTCCGGTTGCACAGGAAGCTCGAGACCAAGACTAAAAGACTCAGACCCCGACCTCTCCAACTTAGTATACTTGGAGGGTCGGGGGACTTAGTAAGTAGGTAATAAGTAGACTTATAAGTACCCTAAAAGGGACCCTAATTGGGGTTATGGCACTAATAAGTCCCTAAAAAAAAGGCCTCAATAATTAGAATAGGGTTTATTTGGGGGCCCATTCTTCCATAATTTCCATAAGGAACCCCCACAGTAGCATTTTTTGTTGAGGCCCCTATCATATATCCCCAGACCCCCCACCCAAACTTCCCAAAACCAGTGACCCCAAAGCCGCACCACAACCCCCAACACCCTACACCCTAAACTCACAAACTCTAACTGATCCTAGACCCCGAATCCGAAGCCTCCACACTCCAATGTCGCAGCTCTAAAACCCAAGAAGCCCAAACTTAAAACTTTAAGCCTTGCAACTCTAACCCTTGCAATTCTCAAACCCTCAAACCGCAAACCTCAGACTCTCTAGAAAAGACTAACAACCAACGCTCATAATCAAACTCCACCAAACCGTGCACCCCATGACCCCAGACTCACACGAACTCAGAAATTTTAACCTCTAAATCCCTTTAACGGCTCAAAACTGACCCGCGGCGCCAAACTCGAGGTAACCCTAAGCACTGACCTCACATTGTAACCCTAAACCCAAAACCATAAACCCCTAAACCCTAAACCCTAAACCCTAAGATGCCCCAAGTACCTTATAAACCCCTTTAACGGAACCCCTAACCCCCCAAAAAACCCCAAAGACTTCAAAGCTGAGGGCTCCCGACGCTCGATCACGAACTCCCGAGCTTGGTCGCGATCCTCTTGGTACGGGCCTCCGGACTCTTGGAAAGGGGTTGGGGCACTTGGAGGCCCAAGGGACTAAGTAAATAGGTTATAAGTAGGCTTCTAACTGGGGTAACTCCATGTAGGGCACTTATAACCCTAGTTCTTACCTACTTACTAAGTCCCCGGGCCTTCAATTAAGGTTCGTGTAAGGGATCTATAATGTATAAGTATAATATATGGGTACTATTGGGTTTTTAGGGTTTCTTTAATGCATCTCTGTGAGGGTTCCTTTAAACCATCTATAGGGGCTATACTATAAGGGTACTTTTGGGGTTTGGGGGCTTAGGATTTTGGGTTTGGGGTTTTTTGCAAGTTGTATCAGCCGTGATGATGTGACACTCCCATAATGCACGGATTACAATCATCAAAACCCTCAATTAAGCTTTGGGTTTAAGGTATTGTTTGCTTCGGCCCTCGCGTTGAAACTTTCCCGCCCGGGATTAAGGCCCGTATCTTGTACTCCTTTGAAGCATGCTACGATGCAACAAGCCTGATCATAACCCCTCCGTAAATCCATACCGCGAAGAAAAGCTTACAACTCTAGATTCTCTCCGCATGCCCTGCGCTGGCCCTAATTACGCGCTGAATAAACCCTAGAAAACAAAACCCTCAGCCCGAAGCCCCAAAGCCCCAAAATCCTAAATCCTGGACCCTCAACCCTACCTAATTAATCCTACGCCCAAAAGCCTAAACCCTATCTCCCACAATCTGAACCCCAAAGTCTATGCCCTGAGACCAAGACTACCAGCAGCTGAAACGACACAGACAGGTTTATGTGCCTGGTGGCGCTGAGAAGCCCCTGGCCGCCAGAGGGTTTTGGGGCGCGGGGTTGCTCAGGGCTGCTAGGAGCCGTAAAGTAAAAGCCAGAAAGTTGGAATATGATTATCCTAAACCCTTTATGGTAAATTATAAGGTATCCTACCCTGAAACCATATTCCAACTTTCTAGAGTTCCCTTTAAGGGTAAGAGAGGGGCCGGTTGTGTAATATGTTAGAGCCCAGTTATACCCAGGAGTTCCAAGAACAAATGTTGGTCATTGGTAAATCGAGATATTTCCAGTCCCTACATTGGATGTTTCGGGGTTTAGGCATAGGGTTGGGCTTTGGAAGGGAAGCAGTGGCTTCAGAAGGCAGCCGAAAAAATAGGGCTTGCAGTGTTTGGGTTTGCCGTGAAACCTGCACACTTATAAAGCTTCAACACCCAAGCACTAAACACAAGATGACAGACCAGCATCAACATGAAAGTTTCCCGGTGTCTTCGGGGTGATTGCTGCTGATCCGCGTCGTGACACCTATCGCTCACCGATTACCAAACAAACCCCACTTCAGAAAGTACTGTGTTAGCCTTTCAGGATACCCAAAGGCCCCAAAGTAGTTCCGTTTTGGGGTTCATATATAGAATCCTATAAGGTAATCCCAAAAAGGAACTACTTTGCTGCCTTTCAGGATATACCATGAACTTGAGCAACAAGGGTTCCGGAGTTGCGGTCCGAATCCACGCTGATGGCTCTAGGGGCTTAGGGCGTTCAGGGGTTTAGGCGTTTAGAGGTTTGGGGTTTAAGAGATTCGGTGTTTAGGGGGTTCAGGGTTTTGGAAATCTGGGGTTTGGAGGCCAAATTAAACCTTCAAGGGCATAAACCTCTGACCCCTTACACCCCTAGTCCCGAAACTCAACCCTAACAACGTAAAGGTAAGCCCTAAACCCTAAACCCTAAACTCTGAACCCCTAAAGCCGAAACCCAGGCTTTGGGTGGGCCTGAAGCCCGCCGCTTGCACGGGCCGAATCCGGGGCCGGCAGGCCTCGAGCCGAAGCTCGGAGTACGGCTTTGGGGGGTTCCTTTAAGGGATCCTTTTACGGGATCCTTGAAGGCATCCTTTGAAAAACGGATGCTTAAGGGGTTACTGTAAGGGTGCTATTGGGGTTTTAGGTGTAGAGATCAGGATTCTGTAAGGTTTTTGGGTCATTAGTGAAATCCTCAGGCACACTGCTTCCTCATCTTCTTCATGTGCCGGCTCAGCTGCCCTGCCGACAATGAGCGCAGCTTTGCTCGAGCGGCCTTGGGCGCAGCATCCTGCCGCTGACGGAGGCTCTTCGAGCTGCTCAGGCCATAAGGTAAAGCCAGAAAGTTGGAATATGATTATCCTAACCCTTCTATGGTAAATTATAGGGTATGCTACCATGAAACCATATTCCAACTTCTGGAGTTCCCTTTAAGTGCAGTTGATCCAGGCGGATCACTGCATCGAGGATCCCATTGACCACCTCTGTCGGAACCTGTATCAAATTCGGGTCGCTCGTGGCCGTATCGAACGCCCAGTTCACGTACAGGATATTCCGGCGACGGCCGAACGGTCTGCTGGCGGCAGGGGTTTTAAAGGCTTCCCCGCTGCGGAGCATGTTGATTGGGATCGGCAGGGGAACTCCCCTGCGCTTCTCCCAAATCTCCAGCTCGTTGGGCATGCAAACAGGGTTGCCAGTATTCCCTCCCTAGTCAGCGGCGCCGAAAGCGAGTAAAAGGTCAGCTGTGCACAGTCCCTCCTCGCACATCTTGGCAATATGTTGCCCATCGCCGATGCTCGGCACTTGGGTGGTGGTCAAAATTATGGTCCCCCTTTGGGTCCCGATTATAATACGGCACCTAATATTTAGGGTGCCCAAAAACGGACCTCATTTTTGACAACTACCCACTTCAAGAATGGGAGTGGAAGCAGGCTATTCACATTGGCACCTTTGGGGCGAACGGGGGGGGACCAAGTCGAGCCTTGACCTTCCTAAAATCCAAACTGCCTACTTGGAGGCCCTTTTGACTTAGTAAGTAAGGGTTCCTTTAAAGGGGTCCTAAAAGGGATCTATAGGGGTTCCTTAAAGGGATCTATAGGGTTTAGGGTTTCTTACTTGGAGGCCCTTTTGACTTAGTAAGTAGGGTTAGTAAGGTGGGTTATGGGGCTTATAATAGGGTTTCTAGGGATACTAAGTAGACTTACTAAGTCAAAAGGGCCTCCAAGTAAGCCCGAGACTGCTGTTTTCGGGGCTCAGGGGCAAAGCTTCTATAGATAGCTCTCTAAATTAGGGTCCCTTTGCGGTCCTTTCTGTAAGGGTGCCGTACCATTTGGTGGACCCGAAAAGGGGACCTCATTTAGCGAACTACCCATACATGGACCCTCTTTCTTATCATACAACATTTATTGCAACCCTTGTTGCACCCTGAAACGGACTCTTTAAAGAGCTTGCGATTGAAGTTAACCTGAGGCAGATCATGGTCTCGACCTTATGAGGTTTAGGGCAGCACGTAAAGGGTCGTACCCTACCCCCTTTCTTAGGATACCTAGTGGTATGGCTAGAACCTGATATGGAGAAGTAGGTACCCTTAAACGCGGGGTAGGGTACGACCCTACAGGTATGGTACATATAAGGAGCTGGGCTCCAGGTTTTGCAGGAGTCTTGAAAAAGCTTAGATTAGGGTCTAGACTGTAGACCTAACAGACCTAACAGATTCCGGATGAGATTCGGAAGGAAAACTGGAATTCCAGACCATGGCCCTCTTAAGGTTATATGGCATGGCCGTGTCGTGCTAAGCGTGAGTTGGGCTTCGAGTCTAGGGTTCAAGAGAACCCTACACCCTAAACCCAGCAGCGCATCTCCGGCAACCCCAGCTAAATACAGTAGAAGCCAGAAAGTTGGAATATCATTCCTTTCAGGTAAATTATTATAGGGGATCCTACCATTAATCCATATTCCAACTTTCTGGAGTTCCCTTTAACCCCTGAACTGAAATGCTCAGACTGACCAGACCAATGAACATAAAGTGCGCAAGCCCTTAAACAATGGGACAATCAATCAATGCTAGTAAAGGCGACGCATACATAAACACAAAACGATCTAAAACACGAGTAAAAGGCCGTACTACCTAAACCTTAAAATTTCTAAACCCCTAACCCTAAACCCTAAGCCCTAAACCAACAGCAACCCTGATTCTAATCCAGGCGCATGTCGGACTGCCACTTGCAACCGTGCTTGGCACAGCAAACGCCACATGGCTCTGACAGCTTTGGGACCGTGACACAGAGGGTCTAAGCCCAATCGGAGTATGCCACAGTTGTAGAATCTAGAACTGCAAAACAAGAGTAGTATAAATGTAGCAATCCTTGCAATAATTCTGATGGCAACAAGAAGCCGTCTAGCATGTTTAATGCTTTTCAGAAGTCAAACGTTAACTATGTTAGAAACCACATCCATGACCGGAATGCTAGGGTGCTAACCCTTGCGGCCGTCGGGAAATGGCGCCAATAGTACTGGAGTCATGAGTACTTGAGCCGTCAATCCGTTGAAGCCAAGGATAGCACCCACAACCACCCCAGTATAAAGCTTTGAAGGAAATGTCCCTGCAATGGGGTGGTGGGGCGGATTTCAATGCTTTGGGTCCATGTTTTCGTCTTTTCAAGCCTGAGGTCTGAGGGAGGGCTTCGATGCTTCGATGCTCGTATTATAGGATTATTGCATTTCTAGTATTATGATATTATAGTATTATGGTATTTTAAGCATTATAGTATTATGGTACTATGGCATTATGGTATTATAGTATTATTATGGTATTATGGTGTTATCGTTTTATAGCATTATAAAGCCCTGATTCAGCTTCGGCCCGACGAGTATAACTACCTACCTGGACCTCCAAGTACAAGTCTGCTAAGTGTGGGAGTGTTGGGTTTAGAGACTCATTCTTCAAAGCTGAGCAGGGTTGTACTTATAGTTTGAAGAGGGCTTAAAGGGAACTCCAGAAAGTTGGAATATGGTTTCAGGGTAGGATACCTTATAATTTACCGCAAAGGGTTTAGGATAATCATATTCCAACGTTCTGGCTTTTACTTTAGTACGGGGGGTTACGAGAGTGTTCTGCCATGGATTTCCAGGTCGCTGTTGCTCTTGCCTTTGCCATATGACTTTGTGTTAGTGGCAACTCACCATAAGAACTCTCACAGAACGTTCACCATGTCACGAGGGCCTCAAATAAAGCCATCCCACATCAGATAATTGCTGAATTCCCTGACCCACAAAATGACAACCATGGTCCAAGAACTTACCACTCAGCTACTGAGGGTTTCGGGTGTCACGTAGGGGGTCGAAAAACAACAACAGTCTCCCCTGGTAGTGCCCTGGCATATTCACAATACTGTAAACTACGTATATATTCTGAATACCGTACCCTAAACCCGAAGCCTACCAAGGCTCTTACATGTATTCATAGGGACCCTTAGGGGGGTTAGGGGGAGGGGGGTAGGGGGCCGTAATGCCCAGAATACTGGCCTTCTATAAGGCCTATTTAAGGAGGTATGATCCCCTACCCCCCCCCCCCCTTAACCCCCGTATGATATAATGAAGAGTTTGCATAAATCAAGTCTTTCGAGGAGCAAATTCCGAGCGCCTTTTGCGCAGCAGGTCCCCATGCAGTCAGTCCCTGGTGCTCCCTGAGAGCCCCCCCAATACTCATTAATTAATGTAGGGTTTAGGGTTAAGGTGTTTAGGGTTTAGGGTTTCGGGAATATGCTCCGAAGCATTGGGAGTATTTATAGAGGGATATACCCGGAAATTTGTGGGAGTGTGCAATATATTGGGCAGCCCAATGATGTCAAGAAACTCCCAAAGGTCAAGCTCCGCTTGAAAGCTCACCCTTCTCGCAGGCGACAATCGCAGAGTCGTAGGCCGACTGGTCGCACCCAAGGCTCCGCTTCCTAAAGGGTTCACGGGGGGTTCAGGGGTTTAGGCTTTAGGGGTTTAGGGTTTAGGGTTTAGGGGTTTGGAGGTTTCGGGGTTTCGGGGTTTCGAGAGGAGAGTGTCAGATTCGTAGAGGAAATCTGCGAACAAACTCCTACTCCCAAATCTGCGAACAAACTCCTACTCCCAAATGGCACCTTGGCGGGTACATAGGACCAGGCCTTCATAATCAGGTTCCTACTTAGAGGCCCCGGGGACTTAGTCGGTGGGTTATACGTAGAGTTATAAGTACCTTATATTCAACGGAGTTACCACTGACATACTAAGTCCACTGGGCCTCTAGGTACATTGCCTAAATCCAGACCCCCAAAACGTATACAGGACTATTGTTCTACATACTTTGGGGACCCAGGGGTGTATTTTGGGGTCCTTATAAGAAGGATCCTACTACCCAGACCCCCGGGAGGATCCAAAAAGTAGATTCCTTAATGGGGGTTCCTATGAAGTACCTTAGCAGTATAGGGCCCCAAATTAGGGGATCTACTTTGTGGATTTGTTGGGAGGGGGTCTTGGTATTTACGAAATACCGCTTCAACTCACGGAGGCTTCGGTAGCAAACCAGCTCGGCCGGCTCTGGCTCCGCCTAAGGTTGATGATGTAAATCTCCCTTAAAGGGTACCTTATAGATCCCTTAAAGGAGCCCATATAGATCCCTGTTATGGTAACATAAACTACGGTTGATGAGATAAAGCCTGCATGACCCGAATGACCCTTGACTATGGGAGCTGTGGTATATTTCTTCTGATGGGCAATGCAGGGCTTAAAGCATCAAGTGTATGCTCCGTTTGCGCCGTACGTGTTAGTTTCGCTATGGGTGGTTGTCAACATCATGGTCCCTGTGTGGGTCCCTAATATAATACGGCACCTAATATATAGGGTACCCAAAAAGGGACCCTGATTTTGATAACTACCCTCATGGCACTTCATGCTCTCTCGACGGCACCCACAGACTTCATGGCCAGCACTCCATATGTAGTTATGCCTATGACACCAAAGCCACAAAGGAATGCTCTTCCAAGCCCATAAACACAATCACTATACACTGAATTAAGCCCTTGAGCCCCGACTGCTGAACCCTCCATCCTGAGCTCTTGCCGAGACGCAGGAAGGACAACAGTTGCAAAGATTCAGGCCACCGGTTGCACAGCTCCAGCGCATGCCTCACATCTCCACCGTCTTCGGGTGGTAGGGTTTGGGCTTATCACTAGCTTCATGTGTTGCGTCTAAGTGTGTCCTGTGTTTACATTGCTTTTTTGGGCTACAGGTTTGGGAATTAGGGCTTGTCGCAACCAAGAATCGCATTTTTATCTGCTGGAGCATCGATTAAATGCTATGTTGCGAACCCTCATGGCTCACTATCTAGGTAGCGACCACCCGGGGCTTCTGAAGGATCCTACGTCCAAGGCCCCACAGCATGCATATACATATATATATATATATATCGGTATTACATACATAAATATGTACACCGAATCTTACTTAGGCTGGGATTACAAACTGCTACTGTTGGCACATCTTGCGCTTCATCAGGACCGAGCTGCAGGGTGGAGCAGCTGGCGATGCTTTCCGGCTGCATCGAACCTGGTCAGGAAGTGACGTCTGGCAGGAACTTCGTAGGTGCAATTACAGTCTCTAGGTTGCAATACTCTACCTGCTATTAGATCCCAGAATGCCCATTTTATTAGGGACCTTATACCCCTATTTGAGGGCACAGGGAAGGCCATTTGGGCATGAGGCCTGAAGGGCTCAACTTGGCAGGATAGGTGCCTGTGGATCTAGAACCCTAACCCGAAACTTTAACCCCCAATCTTTACACAACATCCAAACATCCACCTACCTGCAGCCCCAAAATCTGCACTCTTACAGGCCTGGTATATTTCGTCGAAACAGTGTCGGGTCTTGTGACGGTGTAGGCCGTAAGCTCAGAAGCATGAACTCCACGAGCCCCCAAATTGGATTCAATTCCTACCTGTAGTCTCCATTGCAGTTCTTCTTTGTGGCTCAACCAACTATCTAGCTAGGAGGTAGCCACAAAAAAAAGGACTACGATGGAAACTTGAGGTAAAACTGTGTGGACTTGAGCTTAAAGGAAAACTCCAGTCAACCCTCGGGTTTAGGGGTTTGTGGGTTAGGGGTTTAGGGGTTTAGGGTTCAGGCTTCCCAACACAAGGTTCAGGCGCAGCAGCACAAGCAATACTCGCTGAGTTTGCTCTCTGTGTTGAAATCCCCACCCAGAAGTTCCAAGACTTCGCAAACGGCTGTTTCCGGCGATAGTCCGAAGGAGAGCCTCGCGAAGAAACACTCCTATTCAAAACCTTTCGAACCAAATCAAGCCCAAAACGCTAAATGGTTCACATCCTGAAAAAGCGTCACATGCTTGGGAGATACTGCCCATTGAAAAAGATGTGAGGGCCAAAGTACCAGGAACCATTAGAAACCCGCGTATCGTAAAACTAAAAAATCCGAAGTCCATAGTATGAAGGCCCTGGAGACTGCCTTTATAAGATCCGCTGACACAAAACACATAATTATTACACCGAAGCACACACACAAAAAAAAGAAAAAAACATGTAAAACCTGGGTCAGATGGACTGGAACACAAGTCTGCATCTGGATAAATTGAGGGGCCAACTGCATTGCCCAGCAAGAAGTACGAGTAGGTTATACAGGTTTATGAGTACCCTAAATGGAATAGACTAATAGACCCTATAAGTACCTAAACCCTAAACCCTAAACCGCTGAGTAAACCCTACTTATACCCGAAGTTTCTTGGGCCTCCAAGTAGAGACACGCGGCTCCAAGCTGGCTACTGAACTAAACCCTAAACTTTTAAACCTACAAGTAGGGGTGCCTTAATCAGTACAATAGAAGTAGCTAATAGGGGATTTGGGACCTGCTATTCTACATGGTTCATAACTTAAAAAAGAAGCCCTAATAACCATGCACCCTAACTCCAACGAAGGATTCCTATAACCATGCACCCTAAATCCAAATCCCTAAACCCTAATCCCCAAGCCCTAAACTCCCCCGAACCCTAAACACCCTACACCCTGAGCCCTAAAGCCCCAAACCCTACTTGGGAGTTTCCGAAAATAGGGGACCTAATATAGTATCCTAAACAGTAGGATCCTTATTACAAGGACCCCCAAAAAAGGTAGCCCCAATTTTCGGAAACTCTAAACCTTTATAGTAGCCCTTTTAAAGGAACCCGTATAATACCCTTATAGAAACCCCTTAAAATCCCTAATTTTCGGAAACTCCTACTTCGGCCCAGAGGCGTTCTTGGAATTGCCCAAGCCATGCCACTGCCTCGCGCCAGGACCTGGGAACAGCTTAATCCATTACAGTGGAAGCCAGAAAGTTGGAGTATCATTATCATAAAATTATAGGGGATCCTGCCATTAATCCATATTCCAACTTTCTGGAGTTCCCTTTAAGGGCTCCTTTAAGGGTTCCTTTAAGCGCTCCTTTAAGGGGTCCATAGGGGCTCCTTAGAGGCCCAGGGGACTCAGTAAGTCGGTGACAAGTAGGGTTGTAATTGGGGTAACTCCATTTAGGGTACTAACCCTGCTCACAACCTACTTACAACCTCCCCTGGGCCTCTAAGTACGATACTTCGAAGAATGATGCGCGGTTAAGAAGTTTGGATAACCTTACTTTCTTAGTCCCAGGATCCTCCAAGTAAGGGCTACTATAAGGGTACTGTTGGGTGTAGGGTTTAAGGTTTCAGGTTTACGGATCCGGGCTCGGGGTCTCGATCTTCGGCTCAGCCGCTACGAGCGCTGTACTGAACTTAGACCCCTAGCAAAAACTGCAACTTCAGCTGTTTCTTGGAGTGTGTACTTGGAGGTTCATGGGTAGTTATAAGTAGGGCTATAAGTAGGGTAACTATACTTATAACCCATATTAAGGGACTTATAACCCTACTTATAAGTACCCCTGAACCTCCAATAAGCCCCCCTGAGAGAGGTTATTCCGAGAGACCCGGACCCTCCCCGAAAGTTGAAAGACTTGCACAGAAGATCAGGGCGGTTTGGGATATGTCTTGACTGGGTGAGTTTCACGGACTGTCACTGTTGTACGGTGGGAATTTGAGGATGCAGCTGTCGGTTCTCCTGCTGGGTTTTCTGAGATATGGGCCCTAGCGTTATCTTCATGATGTATCAGGAAGCTCGCAAGCAGGTTGGTACTTGGGAACAGAAGTAGAATTAAGCCTAAACTCTGAAAGTTAACACGAACAAGAAACCAAAACCTGGCTTGCATTCAGCTTCGTCAGCCTCTGAGCCACCAAGTACAGAAAGAAGCGCACCACTGTAAAACAACTGAATGTCTACAGTAGAAGCCAGAAAGTTGGAATATCATTATCGTAACCCCTTTAAGGTAAATTATAGGGGATCCTACCATTAACCCATATTCCAACTTTCTGGAGTTCCCTGTATACTCATACTGATAATACGGACAATACTGATATTAATCTTACGACACGAAGGTACGCTGATGCAGAGCCCCTGGTAGGATGCTTAATTTGTAGGAACCAATGGAAAAACCCAACTTTCATGCAATCACCAAACCACTGATCAGCAGGCATTCTTTTGGTGAAACCCCAACCCTACACCCTAAACCCTAAAATTTTGCCTAGAGTCCTGCCCTGGGCGAAGGCGTCGGCGAGGGCGCCGAAGGTCACTGACGTGGCCTCCACAGGTGGGAGGATCGGGGTGTAGGGGTTTGTGGGGTTGAGGTTGAGGGTAGACGGCTCTGGGTCTAATTTGAGGTTTAGGGTCAATCAGAGGGGCCTCAATGATTAGACTTCATCTTGGGATTTAGGAATGTTATTTAACACCGTGCTATAGGGTTAACATGTATTCGACTTGGGTCCATATGGGAGTTTCCGAAAACAGGGGATCCTAGTATAGTACCCGAAACAATAGGATCCTTACTATAAGATCCCATATTATGGTACACTTGTAAGTAATACAAAACACTCAGTACTGAATCAGGGTTGAGAAGTTCGGGCTCCGGGGCTTTGGTTCAGGGGTTTCGGATTCTTCTTTCGGGGTTTTGTGTTTTGGGTTTAGGGTTCGGGATTTATTGGTTCAGGGGTTCAGAGGTTTAGGGTTAAGGGTTGAGGGGTTTAGGGATTGGGGGGGTGTCTTTTGGAGACTGTGGGGTGTATTAGGAGTCGAATGATATTTAGGAACCCTCAGGAATCAGGAATCAAGTTCGTAATTTTGGGCCCCAGAATATTGGGTGCTTGGGTTGAGGGTACTGGGATGACAAAAGGATCCGCGTACCTGATAGCCAGGTGCTCCCGAAATCCCAATCTACATTAGCCAAAAACGATCCTTAACCCGAGCACTTAGTTGCTAGCGAGTTTGGGCCGTTGCAGGAACAGCGAATATGCAATTAATTTAGAAATTTGCACTCCAAAACTTCGCTTCCGAATTGATGCCCATGTGTTTATCGGGGGGGACGGATGCATCGACAGCCCTTGTGCGTAAAGCTGTTGCAGAACACTATCCCTAGTTGAGGGCCCCAAATGGGTGGTTGTCAATATTAGGGTCTCTTTTGGGGTCCTTGTTATATTAAGCACCTAATATTTAGGGTGCACCAGCAGAAAGGGACCCTAATTTTGACAACTACCCAAATGAAAGGGCTTACGGCGATTTTTGAAGGGCACGGGTTCCTTGTTAAGGATCCCTCGGTAGTCTCAGGAACAGGCTTTTAGGGGCGCTTATCTGTTGAAGTGCCGGATGAAGCCACTCCTTTCTTGGGACCTAGGACTCTAAACACCAAAGCCGCCTAAACCCCAGGCCCTAAAACCCTAAACCCCAAAACCCTAAATCCTACCTGTAGCCCCAAACCCTACCACATGGCAGGTTCTGAACCCGATTATACACCAATACTGGTATAACTACCTGGACCCCAAGGAACCTACCTTTTTAGGGACTTATATAAAGAAGTCATATTAGGGGGGCCCTAAAAAAGTAGGTTCCTTAAGGGCCCAGGTATGGCCCTTAAAGCAGAAGGTCATTGGATCCCCAGGTCCCCAAGAACCCTAAACTCCTAGACCCTACTTGGAGGGTCGGGGGACTTAGTAAGTAGTTATTTTAGGGACTTATAAGTACCATAACCCCAATAAGGGTCCCTTTTAGGGTACTTATAAGTCTACTTACTACCTACTTACTAAGTCCCCCGACCCTCCAAGTAGACCCTAAACACCCAAACCCCTAAACCCCCAATGGTACCCTTACGTACAGTAACCCTTACGGATCCCTTAAAGGCTTATAGTACCTTGTAAAGGAACCCTTGTAGAACCCTAATAAAGGCCCCAAGGTTTCTACAATCAGGCTCCTACACATTATTATTTGGGGATCCTTATCAAGGGTTGATTATACTGTTATACTATAATCATAATAAGGAACCCCCAAACCCTAAACCCTAAACCGTAGTTATTTAGGTTCATACATTACAGGAACCTGCCCCCTGGCCTCCGCCCCGGCTGCGACTGCGCCGGCAAAGAGCCGCGCAGCGCGTCCCCAGCAGAAGCTCCCCGCAGAGGCACTGAGGGCAGCATTCTGCAGTATCACCTTTTGGGTTTAGGGTCCAAGGCTTTAGGGCTTTCGGGTTTAGGGTCAAGGGCTTCGGGGTTTTAGGGCTTTAAGGCTTTAGGCTCTTGTGGTTGATTTCAAGAGCTTTTAAGGCTTTGGGGTTGGCGTTTAGGGGCGAGCTTCCAGGTGGAAGGTGGCAGAGGATCCGAGCCTATTGGGGGTTTCCGAAAACCCGAAATAGTAGGATCCTCGTTATACGGACCCCAGAATACGGGGATTTTGGGTAAGGGTTTAAGTTTAGGGCAGTTTAGGGCTTCTTGGTAAGGGTCGTGTGAAACGTTTGGAATTCACGGCTTCGTGTCCCCAAAGCACGCCTTCTTTACAATCAAGGGCTGCTTGCTTTCTGAGCTCCCTTTCCAGCTCTGCGGACACAGTTGTCGGGCAACTGTACTAGAAAGGGTCTGGGGCGTCATTGACTCATGATGTTCGGCTTGGCCGCTCATTCTCATGCTGCCAATTCAGAACTCAATCCCCCAAACGCCCAGAAATGTGCAGGGGCTTAGGGCTTAGGGGGCAAACAGAAAGCTTGGAGCAGGGGTCTTACAGTTTACATCCTTTAACAAGAAGTTCTGGCCTCCAAAGAATCCAAAGCAGATTCCGCCCCAAGGAGATAGTGCGGGTTTGGGGTTAGGCCCTAGGGGTTCAGGGTTCAGGGCCCCAAAGTTACGGTAAGATACTAACGTCAAGGGTGTAGGCACACCCTAGACCCTAAACACTTATATAAACCCTAAACCCTAAACTCTAAAACCCTGAACCCTAAAACCCCTAAAACCCCAAAACCCTAAACCCCTGAACCCCTGAACCACAAAAAACGAGCTCCAGCCGCCTGGGTCTTGGCCTCAACGTGGCACCAGGCCTCGCCACAGGGCCGGGGGGTTTGGTTTGCCAAACCAAACCTCTATCTTTATAAGCGGTCTATGTGAACCCTTTACACGGAAAGCCTACAAGTGGTTTACATAAGCCTTGTACAACCTCTCGCATAAGCAGCACCCCAACTACCCAGCCGCCAACTACCCACCTAGAACTCCTCTTGATTTGGTGTCGGCCTCGGATCTTCTTGTTCAATCACGGAGCCCTTTGAAACAGATGATTACAATACTCACAATACTTACATAATTACGAATGCTAATAGTATCAATAATAGTATTCATAATAGCAATAATAGAAGTAACAACTAAAAATACATAATAGCAGCATTTCGACACAGTTGATGGAGTTTAGGAGCTCGCGCGAAACTGCGGCCGCTGTTGAGTGAACGGCTCAAGACCACTACAGTAGAAGCCCAAAAGTTGGAAACCCAAAATCCTCAATCCTTAAAATGCGAGAATATTTTTTGGGAATGGCACTATTGCCTTAATCCGGCTTCCAACTTTATGGGGTTTACTGTAGCCGCAAGGGCTGCTTGTTGTACTGCGGGAGCGCACCCAAGATCCTAAACTCCAGAGACCCCCCCACCCCCCAAAATCACACCCTGAACCCTAAAGTTTCCAAAAATAGGGGACCCTCATATAACACCCTAAACAGGAGAATCCTTAGTATAAGGACCCCAAAATGAGGTACCCCGAATTTTCTGCAACTCCCAAATCCCTAAACCGAATACTCTATATGCTCTACGCCCTCAACCTGGAAAAAACATCCAATGGGTTTTCGACGCTAGACTGACTGGCCCCAAACCCTAGGGAAATAGAGTTGCCTTTAAGATCCTGCAACTTAACCGACGCCACCCGAAACCCAATGCCCTGTCCCTCAGCCCCAATCCCCCAACCCTGAGCCCCGGAATGCTCATAGGAACCCTTGAAGGAACATTTAGCACCCTAAACGAGAACCCTTGCAGTAATAATCAGAATCGGGGTTTGGGCGATAAAAATAATCAGGAGCACCCAAGATAAGAACTGGTAATTAGGCCCGTGTATTCCCCGCAAAATAAAAAGAACATTAAACCAACCCCAGTACTCCACCCCACACGGAACCTCTCGAATTGCCAACGCCGGCTGCCAAAGCCCCACCTGAACGGCTCAGGGTATAGGCTTGTGGGTTCAGGGCATTCTATAGGGTTTGGCGTTTAGAGCTGGCTGGGCTTAGAGGGCTGATAGGGTTTATGAGGTTTCAGCTGTTGGTGCTGTGTAAATGAGGGTCTCAGGTGCGTGGTTGTGAGGGTTTAAAGCACCTGTCGCCTTTCCTCGCAAGTTGGTGTCGAGTGGGTCTACCTAGAGCACACCAAACATCACAATTTCCTGCACAAGATGTTGAAGCAGTAGGCTTGAAATCCCTGGATATGGCCTGTAAGTGTACAAGCTCAGCGCTCAGCTTTACAAACCGCGGACTTCGGCTTGCAGGATTTTCGGGCTTCGGCGTAGTCTGGGAAGTTGGAGTTGGAGCTCGCGGTTCGAGCCTTCGTCAAATCCATCGCCCCACCCCTGAAATCCTGAAGCTTGAAGTGCCGAATGCAGAAACGTGTATTCGCCCCAATGCTACCCTATCTAATGCGACCTTAGTAAGGCCTGAAACACTTGCCAAACCTCAACAGTTGGAAGCCCGAAGTTCACAACAAAAGTATTGGTTACATGCAGGCGCGTAGGACTTAGCAAGTAGGCTCAGTGTGAATGATGTCTCCCTAAACCCTAAACCCTAAACCCCTAAACTCAAACATGGCAAGCAACGGGCCCGGCCTTAGCTTTCAGGGTTAATGCAAACAGGCCCTATTAGATCGCTGGCAAGAGCCCTAAACCCCTTTAGATCCCCCAAAAAAGAACCCTTTAAGGAACCCTTTAGATCCCCCAAAAAAGAACCCTTTAAGGAACCCTATAGATCCCCGAAAAAAGAACCCTTTAAGGAACCCTATAGATCCCCAAAAAAAGAACCCTTTAAGGAACCCTATAGATCCCTTATAGAACCCTTTAAGGAACCCTAAGAACCCCAAAAAAAGAACGCTTTAAGGAACCCATCTATGGAACCCTAAACCCCTAGACCGACTGCGTGCTATGTCGCCTCCCACGTGCGCCCTGCGGCCCTGAAGAGGCTGCTTTTCCGAACCCCAAAGCAAGCTTAGGGTTTAGGGTTTAGGGTTTAGGGTTTAGGGTTTTCCGAACCCCAAAGCAAGCCCCCGGTACAGGGCACACCCTTGGAGAATCCTTATAGTTTCCCTTGCAGCACCGTTTTTTGGCTTCAACTCACAGTTCTTTATTGAGGGTCCTAGACGGAAACCTCAAAAGGAACTACAATGGAGACTATGGGCGCCCTCATAGAACCCCGACTTCTCATGCCCCACCTTGCCGTGGGCCGACAGCACGGAGCTGAAGAGGAACTCGTTGCTGCGCACCTCCTTGCTCTACAGTAGAAGCCAGAAAGTTGGAGCATCGTTAGCCTCATGCCCTTAGAGCAAAGTACAGGGAATCCCAGCATGAACCATCCTAAATCTATGTTCCAACTTTCTGGGGTTCACCATAGGGCTTCATGGGGCGGGATTTAGGGTTTCGGCCTCAGGTTTGAAGGGTTTAGGGCTTGGGGTTTAGGGATCAGGGCTTAGGTGCTAGGATGCGTGGATTAGGGTCCAGGGGGCCCATCTTGTGGTAAGGGTTTAGGATTTAGGGGTTTGGTGTTGAGGGTCTAGGTGTTTGCAAAGGCTTGTTGTCCGGGTTTTAAGAAGGTCTCATGCAGGCTTGATCGGGTGTTAAGAAGGTTCTATAGCGGCTCTTTTTGAGGCTGCAGCCTGTGCTACGGCGAAGCCCAAATGCCATCTAATGTTGCTTTTGCTCCATTTTGAGCCTTGAACCTAAACAAAGTCGAGGACGCTTAAGCTTAAACCGAGGACTTTGGGGTCAGGTTTAAGATATCAAAATCGCTAGGACACGTAAAGCCCAAACTCAAAACCCTTGTGAAAGGTTTGAATGTCAGATATCCAAGACTCTTAAACACTAAACCCTAAAACCTGAACCCTAAACCCCCTAAACCCTTAAAACCCTAACCCCTGAACCCCTAAACCCCTAAACCCTAAACCCCTAAACCCCTAAACCCCTAAACCCTAAACCCTAAACGTAAGCTTGAAAGTCAGAAGCAATTTCAGACTCCCGGGACTTGCCGGGCTTGCTAGGCTTCGGCCTTCAGATCTGGAGCTTGGAGTTGGTCTCAAGTACCATGGGTCTCGGGTTTAGGGCTTAGGGCTTAGGGTTTAGGGCTTAGGGTTTAGGGCTTAGGGCTTAGGGTTTAGGGCTTAGGGTTTAGGGTTTAGGGCTTAGGGTTTAGGGCTTAGGGTTTAGGGCTTAGGGTTTAGGGCTTAGGGCTTAGGGTTTAGGGCTTAGGGTTTAGGGTTTAGGGCTTAGGGTTTAGGGTTTAGGGCTTAGGGCTTAGGGTTTAGGGCTTAGGGTTTAGGGTTTAGGGTTTAGGGCTTAGGGTTTAGGGCTTAGGGTTTAGGGTTAGGGATTAGGGATTAGGTTTAGGGATTAGGGTTTAGGGTTTAGTAATAACCTAGAGGCTCCAAATATAGTACCACTATGGAATTAGGTCCCCAAAGCCATGATATGGATGGTCTTTTGGGACCTAATTCCATAATGGCACTATACATGGAGCCTCTGGGTAAGAGATCTATAACAGAAGTTGCATACTACAAGGGCCTGAACAAGTAGAGTAGCTTTTTGTAGCATAGTCTATGGGCTTACAGTGCGACATTCATGGCGGTTCAAATGAGACAGTGCCCAGGCCATGTAACCCAGAGTCTACGGTTAAGGCTTTCAAGGAAATCGACATGTCAACCTCAATCTACTCACAACCCTGAAGAGTACAGCGAGGCATGCAACAATAAGCCTATGGTATCCATTGTAAATCCTTCTGTTGGCTTGACGAGTTTTATGTTTGTAATCTTACAAGGTAACCCTGTAATGGAACCACAATGAAGACTATAGGTAAGGCTCGGGGCAGGCCTCTATGAGCCCGATACCCCAAAAGCCCCAAAACACGACAAGCACTCAAACCCCATACTCGCAAAGAAGTCAACAGGTGGACAATCGGACCCTCAAAGGAACCCTAAAACATAAACCCGCAATTCCTTTAATACCCTTCAAGGATACTTTGATCTCCCGTAACGGAAGCTTCATAGATAGATCCGTTTTAGAGGAACCCTGAACAAAGCAACTGTGCAAAGGAGGCACTCTGAATCTCCTTCAGGAATTAAAAGGTACCCCGAAAGGAGCACCCTGAACCCTAAACCCTATAAACCCTAAACCCCAGACCCTACAGTAGAAGCCAGAAAGTTGGAATATCATTATCGTAACCCCTTTAAGGTAAATTATAGGGGATCCTACCATTAATCCATATGCCAACTTTCTGGAGTTCCCTTTACACCCTAAACCCTAAACGTAAAGGAACCCCGAAGGGAACTCCCTCCGTCCTTGGCCAGGTGCGTGAAGAGAGCCGATGCCAGGCGCCAGCGATTCGCCTCCTGTCGAACCCTAGGGCTTCAGTTACTTGGAGGTTCATGGGTGATAAGTAGGGTAACTATACTTATAACCCATATTAAGGGGCTTAATTATAACCCTACAGGTAATTATATATATATATATGCCTGAACCTCCGAATAGGAGTTGGGGTTTAGGGTTTATGGGTCCTGGATAATGGGCTACTGCGTTGAACAATGTGGCTAGTTCTCCAAATTAGGGTGCCTTGTTGCGTCCCCCAAAATCGTACGGCACCCTTGTAAAAGGAACCCTATTTGGAGAACTACCCATACAGCAACCTACTATGGGGCCTATGGGTAGGTATGTGCAGCCGCAGATGGTGCTCGAAGCGACACAGGGGCAACTAAAGTGGTTAGTTTCCGCAGGAGGTTATGAACAATCACAGGACTTATCACGTTTGCGCGGATTCATAGGGGCATTGCGTATGGTTCTCTAGGATCTGTGATTATCTTCTGAGAGATATGGGATGCGCTCTTGGGATGCTTTCTTTGGCAACATTCCGAACACGCTTCAATCCTGTCTAGGGTCTCGGGGTTTTGTTGGGTTTTGAAGACTAGACCCAAGAGTAACCTAGGAAAAAAAAGGGTGCCCTTTTTGGTTTAAAGGGCTTATAAGGGAACCTGAACCCTAAGAAACGGAATAAGGGCCTACTCTAGGTCCTAGAAGAGGGTTCCCCTAAACCCTAAACCCCTAAACCCTAAACCCTAAACCCAGAGGGTTCCTGCCAGGGGGCTCCTTGAAGCCATCTCAAGAAAGGCTCCGAGGGCAAAGAGTCGCAGGGTTTGACGAAGTTCAGGGTCTATTGCTGTTTATAGGGCTTTTTAGGTTTATAGTGGTTGGGGCTGAAGGGCTTGGGGTTTGGGGTTTGGGGTTTACGGTTTATTTTCTTTCAGAGGGCTTCTTGGGTTTATAGTGTTTGGGGTTTAGGGTTCGGGGTTTAGGGTTTAGGACGGAGGAGCTCAGGAGGTCAGGGCTCATGGGGTAGAGTTCAATCCGTAAGGCTCACTGGCCTAAAACCCAGGGAAATAAAGTTAAAACTTTCAGAGTCGGCTACCTTATAAGAACCCCAAAACTTGAAAAGTTGAGTCTACAGCCAATAAGAAGGTACTCGGGTTCTCGAGTTTAGGATTCTGGTGAAAACCTTCAACCTTAAGCCCCTCAGCCCCAAACCCTAAACCCTCAGCCCTACCCGGACTCTAGATAACCTACCCAGCTTTTAGGGTCTACGTAAGGAAATCCTAATAAGGACCCCTAAAACCTAGGTTGGCCCTTTAAAGCCTCTAAAAAATATTCGTAGATAGATTCCGATTTAGCCCAATAAAGGAAAATATGAAATATCCCAAAGGCCTACCTAGAAAAGGCAGGTTCTTCAGGGTCCAGGTTGGGCCTAAACACCGAAAACGGAGCCGGTCAGGTCCTCGACGGCCTCAAGGACCGAGAGGGCCAGGACGACGTCTGTTTCCACGGCCATCTCAGAGGTCTTGGGCTTGGTTTAGGGTTTAGGGTTTAGGGGCTTGGGGTAGAAGGCATAGGGTTAAAGGTTTCGGGCTTTGTGCTTTAAGATTTAGGGCTGCGCGGGCTGAGAGGTCCTGGAGGGTTGAGTATCTAGAGGGTCTAGAGGGTTGAAAGGGTTTTAGAGTTTAGGGCTGAGGGTTGAGGGTTTAGGGTTTAGGGTTTTAGCGGGGGTCAGTGTGTAGGGGTTTGGGGGGGTATGGGTGTGTGTTGGGTCTGTGGCATCGACAAGTCCCAAGCTTCTTCTTTGTGGCCGTTCTTTGAATGCTCTTACTTTGTGTGCTACATTGACTTGTTCTTTGTCGCTGGATGGTTCTACCTATTGTAACCATCATTAAGGACAACTAGTGCTGGGATTCACAATACAGTACTCTTAAGGGTTGAGGCTATTGAGTTTCCAACTTTGGGGCTTCTACTGTATACCTTGAAGGCTTTGGGCTACTAAGTGAAAGTTATTTGGTGCCTAGGGCTCGGCTTCAGGCTTGGGTTCAAAAAACTAAGTTGGGGGGTTCCATTGTCTTTCATTTTTGGAATGAAGATCCGCTCCAGCAGTTCCTCTGCTGGAGCTCCCTACTCCTGCCCGTAACTTCCAAAAACACTAGCTTTAATAACCCCTTGGGCTTATACTAAGAATACAAGTATGATAAAACTCAAACATGATTCGTGAGGAAAAATCGAAACATCTTACATAAGGATCACTATGAGCGCGACAAATACCGCAGACCAGGTTTAGGGTCGCGCGTGGTCTGTTAATGCTTGCGTTTTGGGTTTGAGCATGGTTTTACGTTTGGGGGTTTCGTTACGGCCTCATGACTTTACGGGGTCAGGACCACCGCGGTTTGCCGAAGGCTATGCCCAAAAGAAACGAGTTTCAATCCCAAGCCCTTTCCCCAAGCAGTCAGAGAGCAAATGTAACGGCGTTTGGACTTGAATACCACTCTAGGCTCAAACTGGACCGAAAGCCTCATTTAGCATGGTAAACATGTGGGTCAAAAACATCATAGAACCCTCATATAAAAGAGAAACGAATCGTCAGAGCTTTAGGTTGTTAGGGCTAACTGATACCGCAAACGCCCGCTAACCGGAGGCGCCCACCTGGGGCAGGCTCTGCTGCGCCCCGAGGGCCTGCTGCCAGCCCAGGAACCGGGCGCAGGAGGCAATCAGGCCTCCGAAATCTTTCTGTGTGGGTTGTTGAAACTGAGGAAAAAGAAATCTAGGGCCTCAATAATTTGAGTAGGGTTTCGGATATATTGTACTATAAGTATGATAAGGAATCCAATTGAAACTGAGGAAAGACCGATTGAACCCAGGGCTTAAGATTTAAAGGGGTCTACTCTACGGCCGAGGGTGGGGTTTTGACGCACTCCTTTTGCATTGCACGGAATGGTTTTCGAAAGGTTTCCAAGTTAGAGTTTCGGATAGTTTAGGGTTCTTTCAAACGTGCCTGGTTTGACGGCTTAGAATTTAGTATTTCAGGCTTTAGAGTTTAGGGAAAAGGGGTTGAGGGATTTAGGGATTTCGAGTTTTGCGTTTAGGTTACCAGACCAAGGATCTTGAAGAGTACACGAAGGCAACATCCGCTTTCTTGACACTTCGCAGCCGTGCCAAAGCTCCAACTGACTAAACCGTATTCATAGTCAAACGTCGACAAAGCCGCCTGAAACCTAAGACCCTAAGCCCCATGAACATCACCCTGGACCCTAAAACCCCAAACCCTAAACCCTCAGCCGATAAAGCAACGGTGAAGGAACCCCAGTTCTAAGCACCCTAAAGGGAGCTGCCCCAAGAACCCCACTTATAATCGACTTACCCACCCCCAAGTAGGTTCTGAGTAGAGTTATGAGTACTCTAAATGGAGTTAGCCCAGTTACAATCCTACTTATAACCGACTTACTACGGCTGATGATAAAAATCCTGCATTACACAAAATAAGGAACATACCATAATTCCCACACTTTAGGGTGTTTAGGGTCCTTAAGGTCATGCAGGATTTATATCATCAACCGTAAGTCCCCTCGTCTTCCGCCCAGCCACCGGTGCAGGCCAGACGTGAGACGCGGAGGCTCCGGCGTCCGAAATCCGAGAAGACGGCCAGCGCCTGGTCTCTTTAAAGGGAACTCCAGAAAGTTGGAATATGGAGTAATGGCAGGATCCCCTATAATTTACCATAAAGGGGTTCGGATAATCATATTGCAACTTTCTGGCTGCTACTGTAAGCCTTACCCTAAGGGTCCATGTACCTAATCATCAAATACGAATCATATATTCTCCCAAACATTAAGCTACATAGCAACCATCCTAAATCTGAGTACCTTGTTATTGGGTGCTTTGGACCCTTAGGGTTAAGAGTACCTAGGGTTTAATGCTCTGGGCATTAAGGGTACCTTACCTAGAGTTTTGTATTGCGGGCGTTAGTGTTTGGGGTTCAAGGATTTCAGAATGCAGATCCTAGTAGTTGGTTCAGATGCCAGGTATATAGCGTTATCGAGTCCATATCAGGTTCCTCAGCTTCTGTCACTGCAGTGGGTGTTCAGACTTACTGTACGTGTTTAATGACATACAGGAACTACAGGTGACCCTGTGTTTGAATTACAAACAGGTTTTCTGCTGCTGCTGCTGCTACTACTACTACTACTACGACGACGACTACGAATACTACCACTACTGCAACAACAGCAACTACTACGACTCCTCTTGCTGCTTCTGCTACTGCTACTGCTACTGCTACTGCTACTGCTACTGCTACTCCTACTCCTACTCCTACTCCTACTCCTACTCCTACTCCTACTACTACTACTACTACTACTACTACTACTACTACTACTACTACTACTACTACTACTACTACTACCATAACTACTACCCCACTGTTCCTGCTGCGGCTACTGCTACTGCTACTGCCACTGCCACTGCTACCGCTACTGCTACTGCTAGTGCTACTGCCACTGCTACTGCTACTGCCACTGCCACTGCTACTGCTACTGCTACGGTTACCGCAACTACTACTGCTACTGCTGCTACTACTACTACTACTACTAATACTACGAGGCGTCGCATGGCGTCGCGCTGCTAATTGATCGCAACGTTTTATTGTCTCGATGTGCGCAAGGAAATGGGATTCGTATGATGCCGTGATTACGTTTTACAGAATTTGGGTGTTCACTTTGTTTGCCAAAGGCGGAAATCTCGCTTAACTATTCGTGGGATGATTTCACAGGATGATTGCCGAACGTTAGAATTTGGTTGTGTGATTTGCAGCCCAGCATGTACCGAAGCCTGGATATGCTGCAAAACACGAGACTTCATGCGATTGGAGAATTTTCGGACTGTTCAATAACGATGGCATTGCAGTGATAGAAAGGCCCTTGAAATGGTTCCTAATTTAGAGGCTGCTGCCATGACGGCCAGAAACTAAGAAGTAGTATTGGGGAGTCTTGCTTCCGGAGTCTGATACGCCGGAATCAGATGCCGGGAAAAAATCTGAGACCGTGGTATTTCGCCATGATGACCCGGGGCAAAGTCTTGAAGAAGGCCATGTCGAGGCAAGGTCTGCCAAAGTAATATGCAGTGGAGTATATAGTGTAGTACAATACATCAAAATATTCATCAGCATCAACGTCATCAGCACCACCATCATCAGTCAGTCATCATCAACATTATCATGATCATGGTCATTAGCGCTGCTTGCAGCAAATATGCCAATGCAAAGTCGTGTATTCAAGCTGTAAAACCCCAGCATGACATGTACACACATGGGCTGAGACATGACTGTAACGCCCCGCACCCCACCCACCACCGGACAATGAGAAGGAGCGGTTCGAGCCACGGTCAAATAACGGCAGGTAGGGTACTACTACGAAAGCTGCTGCTGCTGCTAAGCTGCTACTATTGCTACTACTGATACTACTACTGCTACTGTACTACTGCATTACTACTACTACTGCTGCTGCTGCTGCTGCTGCCACTGCTACTACTACTACCACTGCTGCTAGCACTACTTATTACGAAGATTACACTAATTGCCGCTGCTATTACTACTACTACTACTACTACTACTACTACTACTACTACTACTACTACTACTACTACTACTACTACTACTACTACTACTACTACTACTACTACATGGCTGCAGGAACATTTTACAGTTTCGGCCCGGCACTGCGGGTCCGGATTTAGGAACTCTTCCTTGCACTTTCTGTCACGCAAGCTCTAATGCGATCCCTGATCGTTGTTTCGCGTTCACGATTTAGGGTTTCAAACCCCTGTCACCCAAAGAACCTCGTTCTTGGTGTTCCTTATTGTGAAATGCTTCCGAAAGCAACACATTAAACGGATCCGTGGGCTAGAGGCTAGTGAACAAGTCTCCGCGGTGATGCGCAATTAAAGCCTTTGGGGGCAAAACGCGAACAGTATATTTGGGGCTCAGTCTTCGGATTAAAGCGTAAGCCTATGCTATGATATCGTTATATGCTACCCTGCGGATGTCAATTTGATGGGTTGGGGGGAGCGGGGCCTGGGGCGGCGGAAGATGCGAAATCAAAGCTGAATCAGCTGAATTTAAGCGCTGTACTGATATGTATGTAGAAGAGTGCGGGATACAGCGGTTGTTTTGCGCTACAATAAGGAACTCGATGGAACTGTATCAGTATCCTCATCTTTCAAGCTTCCATAGGTACAGGGGTCGAGAGTTGGGGCTTAGGGTTGGCAATTCAAAGTCTTCGGGCTCAAGGATGCTCAGGTGGCATCAAGAAAGCCAGCGATCGACGCAACATTCAGTCCAATGGGCGAAGGCCAAATCAGGGCTTCGTGTTCAAGGCTTAAAACCCACTAAATTCAAGTCTCAAAAACTCTTGAACCCGTAGTGTTGGGGTCGAGGGCCCCTAGACCCCCTCAAACCCTCCCCAAAATCCCTGAAACCCTAATCCAGATATGACATCATAAGGCTATAACCGCTGA